GAGAATCCAGAGCCAGGTGGGCAGACAGGGGCCGATGCCTGTGGAGCCACCTGCCCTCCCCCTGGAGTTTCCCCTGATTCCTGTGGGCACGACTAACTCCCTTCCTCCTGGCCCACCCCACCCTCCTCCCACCCAGGCTCCAGCAACACTCAGCAAAGCCCACTCCCCCAAGCCCGGCTTCCTCTCTCCCCTCCGGACTGCCCTCTCCGGAATGCCCTTTCCCTGCCCCTCCGCACACCTTCCCCTGGCTGACCCCACTCCCCTCAGCTTGGAAGCATCCCACGGATTCAATCTGGAAGCATCGGCCCTCCCCACGGCCTCCTGACATCGTGAGTGAGTGGTCCCGTCCGACTCTCCTCACGCTGCAGCCCCGGCGAGCAGCCGGCCAGCATTCGGTGAATAAACGAACGCGTAAGATTAATGGATCCAAGTGTTAAAATGGCCAAGAAATTCCAACCTGGTCCCTTCTGTTTGACACAAAGCAGGAGTTCCTCAGAGACTGCCCCCAATGACGTCTGGTCCATGCGGGCACTCGCCCCAGAACCAGGACAGATGTCACACCGAGGCCGGCAGGGCGGCAAACCCGCCCTCAGGTGCTGCCAATCCCAGGTGGAGCATCACCCCCCAGCCCCAGGGAGGTGGGCAGAGAGAAAGAGAGGGGCAGGGTGGATCCAGGCTCAAGAAATGTCTGAACAAACACTGTCTGGGCTGCTCCTCCCGGTTTTCCAGGGAGAAGGGGAGGCACAGGTGGCCTCAGTGCCTCCCCAGCGGGGCCAAGGAAACCAGCAGAAGCAGAGAAACAGGCCCCCCGCTTTCCAGAAAGGCATACCCTTCAGCCTGGATGGGGAGAGTCACAGGCAAGGATTCTGGGTACCCACAGCCCAGAGCCTCCTCCCGCATCCTCCTCCTTTCTTTCTTTCAAAGATCACGGCTGAGGAGGAAGCACCGGATCTGCACGTTTATTTACCATTCCTGAGCCTGACCTTCCCGGAAGAGTGTCACTAATGAGAAACAAGCCACTTTGCTCCCAGATCCAGCACTTTCACGGGATCCATGGAGGGTTTCAGAGTCCATACAGGGTCAGGGCAATCCTGACTGCCTTCCCTGTGAAGGAAAACAAAGCCACGGAGCTGCTCTGTCCGGAAGGAAGCTTTGTGTACGTCGAACAAACGTCAGAAGCGAGGTTACTCCTCTCCCGCTGTCCCTTCCGGCTCTCGGCTGGGGACAGAGAGGGCATCCGCCTTCCCGGGACGTAGGCAGAGGGAAGTGGAAATGAAAAGTGCTAGTAGGGGCAGGAGAGTCCCGGGTTCAAGAACGGACAGTACAGCAGAGGCAAGAAGTCCGAACTCCGCTCCTCCCCCTCACGTCCAAGTTATGACTGTGCTCATACGGACACTCCGCCATCCCAGCAGAGCGCACGCTCTGTGAAGACGGGGGTCTGTCCATCTTGCTCTTTGCTGCATCCCAGGGCCAGCAAGTGTCTGTCACGTAGTACAGGCATCCTCTTGTTCAGAGGATGGATTAAACAATTAGCCAGCGAGAAACATTTGCATAGAAACAGCCAGTCAGTGTCATTTTAAAAGTAATTCTTTCTCAGCGGGAACAGAGATTTTCTGTGTGTGTGTGTGTGTGTGTGTGTGTGTGTGTGTGTGATGACAGGACTTAGGATTTTCTGGATCATCTGGTCAGTTCGTCTCGTTGGGTCCATGGACAATCAATCCATCAGTGCCAAGCACTATTGCAACTCCACTGGTTATTAAACAGTGTGAACGGTGAACTTGCAAATTCCCTTTAAGCTCTGCCTCACATCTGGCTGAGCCGGTGGGTGGGTTGTGGGCCGTAAAACCTCTCAGGTGTGAGGAGGGAGGTTTCATTTCTCCTCTCAGCAGACACCGCTCCCCACCTACTGCAGGGCCACCACAGCTGGGCGCCGAGCAGGTCTCCAGAAAATGCCACTGGGCAATCAGGAAGGCGGCCGTGGGGCTCCTCCCAGAACCAGCCCTGTCCCCTGTCAGGCTGGCCTTCCTCCTCCCCTTCCAGAAAGGAGCCCTGACCATCCTCCCTCTGGGGAGAGGAGGGTGAGCCTGGCGTGGTGTCAGCCGCCTGGCATCAGCCGAAGAAGGCCTGGGAGACCCTGGATCTGAATGCAGGTCCTGGTCCTGCCACTAAGTGGCTGTGTCCACCCTGGGCGGCCGGCTCCCTGCTGTGGCTCCGTCTCCCTCTCTGTAAAACGGGGAGAACGGCGTCCACTTCCTGAGGTCACTGTGAGAATCAGTGCACACAGGCCCCGGAGGTAGTCCTGGCACACAGGAAGGGCTGCGTGTTAGCCATCTCTCTTGTCTGTTGTCTGCACAGCGAGGACCTGGGGTCGCCCGGACCTCTCAGCCCTCCTGAGAGGGAAAACTCAAGTCACCAAGGTGCCTTTTTGGGTGGCATTCTCAATGCACCTGCCCATCAAATGCGTCCCGGACCAGGCCTGGCTCAGGAGAAGAGCTGGCAGCAGTGATGTGAAAGGGGCTGCACAGGCTCCTCTGTGACTTTCATGGTCCTGGGACAGAACCCTTCCAGGGGGCAACTCCAGCCTCCCATCCAGCCCGAGGGTGAACCTGGGGCCACCTGCCGCCTCAGTTTGGCTGGCAACACCATCTCAGCCTGCAAGTTGGCCTGTGTGAGTGGGAGGGTGTCAGGGGGAACCGCTGGGTCTGGGAAGTGGGTAGCGGTCCCCACATCTGTCTGCTCCGCCCCAGCCTCTGGCCCATTCAGTCTGGGGTCGGGAGCCTTCCCTCGCTTCGCGGATATAACCCAGAAGTCCGGACTGCTGCTTCTGAACAGTGTCACGATATTAACCGTCTCTTAGCACAGTTCATCACATCCACTGAAATGTAAGTGCCCCTCAGATACCCCTCACCCATGGGCATGGGCCATTTTAAAGAATACATTTTACTGATTTTTTACAGAGAAGAAGGGAGAGGGACAGAGACTTAGAAACATCGATGAGCTGCCTCCTGCACACTCTCCCCACTGGGGATGTGCCTGCAACCAAGGTACATGCCCTTGACCGGAATCAAACCTGGGACCCTTCAGTCCGCAGGCGGACGCTCTCTCCACTGAGCCAAACCAAGCATGGCACGTTTTTATGGCGAACAAACGGAGGCCTACTTTATCGCCGGAGGCAAAAACCTTGGCATGTAAGCCAGGCTGCCTCACTTAGGCTGCTGATGGGGACACTTTTCCGTGTCAGACTGTGTTTCTACCCCAGGCTAGATGCGTTTGCAAACACTTTTTTCCTTTACCAACACTAACTTCCTCCTGAAAGGAAGACGGATACCCACACACCAGCTACCCAACCATCATTGGAAAACGTGACTCATGGTCCCGGTGCTGGGATCCACTGGGACCCAGAGAACAGGGGATTCCCGCTGCGCAGGCAGCGAGGTAGCCAGGCAGCGAGGCCGGAGAGGAACTTCCCTGAGAGCGGAGCTGCCCGCTCTGCTGGAAGCCCCAGCCCCAGGTGCTCTCTTCGCGGCCGCCGTCTGCAGGCTGTGATTAGGGGCCCTAATGGCCATAATGCCTCCAATGTGGTGTTTAAACCAATAAGGCTTCAGAGAAGTGAAGTATGTTTAATAATGGCTTAATGACTACTTTCGGAGATGCAAGGCTTCTGGTTCCTGTTTGGCCTTGATTTATAGCCCAGCCCCGGCTGAGGACAGCCAGGAGCCCCCCCTGAGCCCCCGGCGGAAGAGGGAGGTGTTCGCACCAGGCTTCTTGGATTCCTTCAAAAACGGAGAATTCAAATGAAATACAAATGATGTTTGACTCCCACCTTTCTCACTGGAAACAAAGACTGAAAGCCAGCGCGACCCGCACGGAGGGACTCCTCCGTGCACAGAAGCGAGCGGGGCCCTCTGCTGTTTCTCCCGGGACCTTAGCTGGGTGGGGGCCGCTCCCCTTTTCAGAAATTCTGGGCTACTGTGCTAGTCCTGTGCTTCCCCCGAGGCGGGAGAGGCCCGGCTCTCAGATGTGATCCTCCCCTTCCCCTCCTGCAAAACCCAAGGCCAGGGCAGCAGAGCCCTGGGTCTGAGCTTCGGGGTGAGGTGGGTGGGGTGGGTGGGGGGCTCTCTACAGTGGGTCCCGGGCACTTCCAGGTCATTTGTCCACGGAAGGCAGTCACTCCCTGCTGTTCAAACTCAGAACAGGCCATGCTCCCCCACCTGCTCCAAAGGCGTCTCTAGTTGCCCCTGCATGTCCCCCTGTCTGCACCAGCCCTGCCACCCCCCCACCCCCCACCCCGGTTCAGACCCATCGGGGATATAGGAAGACAGAGGATTGACTCGGTTAACCAGTTAGATGAGGGCAGCAGCAGGCTGGTTCAAGGTCCCGCAGCTAACACAGCGCCCAGCCCCCAGCCCCAGATCAGAGCCGTTTCAAACCACACTCGCAGGGACTCTGATTCCTGGGAGAAGTGAGATCTCTAAGGGAGGTGTTTCGCTGGAGGCAACTTTTCCCAGGTCTCAGCAAAGAGATCGTCAAGTCCCAGCCCTTACCTGACCTGCCTGGGTCCTTATCCCTGCTGCCCGGCCGCCGGTTCGCTTTGGGGAAGACGGAGGGAGGACTCTACCCCAAACTGCTTCACCCTCCAAAAGGCACATCAGGACCCTGGTTCCTGCTCTGAACCAGGGCCTCGCCCAGACCCACGAGCAGACAAAAGGGCCTTCCCTGCTCCTCCAACTGCCTCGGACCCACGGGTTGGGGTGAATCTGGGGGCTCCCGGCCTCCGAGGGGTTAACCCGCGCGGGGCTGCACGTGACGTGGATGGTTCCAGCCGAGGCGCTGCCCCCTCCGGTCCTCCGCCCGCTCCCCCCCCCCCGCCCGCCCCCAGCGGTGCAGCCGCTCCCGGGGCTCCGCGCCCCGCGCCCAGGTCCCTCCCCCTCGGCGGCGCTCACAAGCCGCGCGGGCTGCGAACCCGGGAGCCGGCGGCCTGCGCGCCCCGAGCCGGCGGCATGGACCCCGCGCAGCGCTGCGCGCCCTTCGGCTTGGCGCCCGGGCCCGACCCCTACGCGGCCGCCGGGGACGAGCCTCCGGGCGGCCAGGGCGCCTCGGCCTCCGCGTCTCACCTGCACCCCGCGCCGCCCCGGGGCCAGCGCCTGAGCCGCTTTCCGGCCTGCGGGCCCCTGGAGCCCTTCCTCCCGGAGCCGGCCGAGCCGCCCGCCAAGTACCTGCAGGACCTGGGGCCCGGCCCCGCGCCCAACGGCGGCCGCTTCTACGAGGGCCCGGCGGAAGGTAACGGGGGAGCGCAGCCGACCCGCTCCCCTTCCCTCCCGGCGCCCGGCCTCCCCGCTTCCCCGTCCCGCTCGCTCAGTTCTCCCTCCGTGACCCGCCCTCCCGCACCCGGCGCCCTCGGCAGCGGAGCGGGCCCGGCCGGTTTGCAGAAGCCGGCGGTGCGGGCGGCAGCCACGTGTGCCTTCCTTCGGCGGCGGGAACGGGAGGCGGAGGGCGAGCGGCGAAAGCTCGGGCCCAGCGGACCCCAAGGCGGCCGGAGCCGGGAAGGAGAGCATGCTCGGCGGACGGGGCTGGAGCTGTCACCCGCCCAGCAGCCCGGACCGGCCAGGGCCCTGGAGCAGATCTGAGCCACGGGGCCCTGATGAGAGAGAAGCGCGGGTTTGGTTTGCTTTTTTTGCGTGTAGCTCCTGCTGCAGCCCCGAGGCTGGGCCCCGACCCCGCCTGGCCACGCCGGGCCTGCCGGGGGCTGCGGCCTGGCCTCCGCCGGCCTCCCCTCCCAGGCCTGGCTTCCGCGGGGAGGGCGCGCACGGGGCACGGGGCCGAGCTCCCTGCGGAATAACGGTGCTTATTTCTCAGACTGACCTGCGGCCCGCGGGTGCGCCGGGCGATGGCCGCCCTCTCGCAGGCTGGGCTTCCCCGCACCGGATCGCCGCCGCCGCCGGGGCCTCTGGAGCAGCCGGCCGGCCTCCTCCCGGCGCCCGGAGTTCTGGGCGCGGAGGCCGGGTGGACCGCGCCACCGGCCGGGCAGGCGGGTCCGAGTGCCGACAGCGCCCACTGCACGAGCGGACCTGCAGGAGTCTGGGCGCTGCCCCATCCCGGAGCTTAGGCCCAGCGCTGGGTCCCCCGAGATCGGCCCACCCCGCCGGCGCCCGCGGGCCTCCGTGGAGCGGACGGGCAGCTCCGGCCTGGGCCCGGCCGGCGGTGGGAGTGCGGGGAGGCGGCGGGAGGGAGGCGGGAGGGGGTCAGCGGAGGAAATGAGCGCGGCCGCGGAGCTCCGTGTCTGCGCCCTTTGAAAGGGGCTCTCCTGATAAAAACCACAGTTGGGACTTAATGAGAAGCAGTTGGCCCGGCTCCTCTGATCCCAGCCAGAGGCGGCCCCGCCGGGGACAGGTACCCGGCTGCGCGGGGCGCGCGGCGTCGGGCAGGATCCACCCGCGGGCCCGGGTCCCCGCTGGGCGCCCCGATGGATCCCCGCCCGGCGCCGAGCACCCCGCGGAGGGAGCGGAGGGAGGCGGCGGCGGCGGCGAGGAGCGTCGGCAACGAAATGCGAGAAAGAAAACCAAAGCGTGTAAACAGCCGAGAAGGGGGCAAAGGAAACAAAGTATCGGAGGAGGGGGTGACCGTGGGGAGCAGAGGCGGCCGGCGGGCCGGGCAGGACGGGAAGGAACAGAGGAAGAGCGAACCAGGAGAGCGAGCCAGCGGCGATCGAACGAAGCGGGTAACGGAGAGAGCGGGACCAGGCAAAACGAAAGGAGAGGGGACGCCCCGAGAGAGCAAAAACCAGCCGACAGGGCGAGAGGGTGAGGAACAGGGGCGGCTCCAGCGGAGCGGAGGACCGGCCGGCCGGAACGGAGGCGCCCGGCGGAGCGGAGCCGGGCAGAGCCCCCGCGCCCGGCGCTGCGGCGGGAACCGGGCGGCGGAGCCGGGCTGTGGAGAGGGAGGCCCCGGAGTGCGGGGCGCGCCGTGGGCTTCAGGTGGGACGCGGCTGGCAAACGGGGAAGCCGCCCTATTTTCCCGCTTTTAAAGGAGCGGCCACGGCTGTTTCCAGTTCAGACCAGTGAGCGCGCAGCTGCTCCCCATCTGCAGCGCGAGATTGGCCGCGGCCGGGCAGTTGCGCGCCCCGGAGCCGGCTCCTCCGTGGACGGCTCCCGGGGGAGAGCGCCCAGCCCGGCCCGGGGTCCCCCGTGTCCAGGCCGCGCGGTCCGCCTCGCGCCCTCGGTGCCCGGCTGCTCAGAGCCCAGGAGCGGCCTGGCGGTCCTTCCTGCTCTGCCGGGGCCGCGCCGTCTGTCTCTGCGCCTGGCTCCCTGACCTCGGACTTGGTTTGCCCGGGCGGAGGCCCTGAGCCCGGTACCCGGAGGGGCCGCACTCCCTGGCGGACCATGCCTCGAGGGGAGTTCCAGGTTATTGGCCCCTGGCAGAGGCCAGGCTGGGAAACTCCAGGGAGAGCACCACACGGGGGTCCCCCATGCGACTATGATGTCTGTAGCCAGCGTTGGGGAGCCCTGGCCTCCGCCAGCACCGAGGGCCGCTGGGGAGATGGCGTGAGCGCGCAGCAAGCTGCCGAGGAAGTTCAAGCTGCCTCCTGCTTCTCTTGCTGGAGCTTACTACTTGCCCAAACGTCAGGATGTGGGCAGGGAAGAGATGATGCCTCCGTGGACGCCATCGTGGGGGCAGTGGAGCTCCGGGCAGGCGCCCCGTGGTGTGCTCCTGCGCTGCCTGGCCTCGAGGCTGCAGCTAGTAGGGCGCTGGCAGCCCCTGGGGTGGGGGGGTGTTGGACGGAGCTCCGTGGCCCCTCAGAGGTCCTTGTCCTGGCACCTGCCTTTCCCTTCGACCCCCAACTCCTGGCTGCTGTGGCCCTAGACACACACACGTTGAGCCCCAGGCTCCCAGGGTCCAACATGAGCGTTCCCCCTTTCCCCCCCTTTCCCCCGCCTGGTGCCAGTGACTCCCACACAGCCCATAGGCGCTTGGCCTTAGGTGCTAAAATGCAAACTGCCGGCTCTGCCGCCCACCTCCACCTCCACCTCCACCTCCGCCTGCTCTGGGCTTCCGTCCCCGGGAGGCTGCTTGATGTTCTTGGCCGCTGCCCTGTCCTCCAACGAGGGGGCCTCAGGCAGATGGGGAGGTTTGGGGGCAGTGGCAGGAGGGAGAAGCTCTGGTGCCTGGCGGTGAGGGCTGGGACCAGGCAGGGTGGGAGGCCGCCCCAGGCCAGCAGGCTGTGCTCTGCGGGGAGCCATCCTGAGAAGTCCCGCTCGCACTCAGCCCTGACCCTGGGTGGCAGGCTCAGGGAGGCCAGCCCTGCAGCCCCAGGTCTGGCCGCTTCCCCCGGGAAGAGCCCGTTGGAACAGATGTTGAGGGCCCGGGAGGCAGAAGAGCAAGCCCCGGAGCTGAGGGGTGAGGGCACTGCCCTCTGCGGTGCTGTCCGCGCTCCCCGAGCCCCTGTCCCTGAGCCACGCTCGCCCTGTACCCTCCGAACCTGAGACTCAGGCCCCAGTTATTGGCTTCACCTTCCCAAAGCCCTTCCTCCTGACAACACAACGTGGCCCAGATGGGAAGCCAGAGCGGGAGCACTCCCTCCTCTGGGGGCTGGGAGGCTCCACCTGAGCCGGAGGGACCCTGGCGCCCGCCCAGCGGTGAGCGACATCTATCTGACTCCCCCACGCCTCCAGGACACACCACTTATTTCAGTTCCCGGGGGGTGGGGTCCTGGGAGGTCCCTGACCGCCTTCCAGCTGAGGGGCACCTTGCACAACTTGTCCTCTACACGCACAGAGGGATCCATCAGACCCGGAACCCCAGGACCCTCCCCTAGCCCCATCCTCCCCCCCACCCTCCACATGGCAGCTGTGATCCTGACACAAATGCTGGGGAAGAAAATGCCCTTCGGTGCCAGCTGGCTGGGCCTCCGGGGCCAGGCCCTGCTGAGGACAGGCCGGGCCAGGGAGGGGGCCGTGTGAGTCTGGGCGTCTCGGTGGCTTCACCCCTGCTGTCCCAGCAGACTGTTGGGTGGAGCTCTCACAGTGACGCTGCTGGGGGCCTCGCCAGAGGCAGAGCGGGCAGTGGGCTGGCCTGTTCCTCACTGTGCCTGGGTCCTGGCAGGACTCACCCGGCGTCCAGAGGGAGGGGAGCGCCCGGGGGAGGGCTGCTGGGGACCGTCCCAGGCGCCACTCAGGCCCCCTGCGTGTCAGGCTCTTGGGGAGGGAGGGGCCGGCGAGGATGGGAACCATGGGGTTGGGGCTGTGCCCGGTTTCAACACGGGTCCCCCAGCTCCCTTCCTCTGCGCACAGCCTACCTCCTGCCTCTCTTGCTGGAGCTTACTGCCTGCCCAAGCATCAGGATGTGGGCAGGGAAGAGAGGGTGCCTCTGGAAGCTTGTCCTTCATACCTCAGGGCTAGGGGATCTGACTTAGCCCTGAGACTCGGGGCCCAGAGGCCACGAGGCACTTTCTGGCAGGGGCAGGGAGCTAGATGTCCACCCTCCCATCCTCACCCCTTCCTCCCACCCCTGCGCCAGGCCCTGCCATGGCACCGATCCTGGCACCTCCACGCCCTGTGGACTGTGCCACCCCAGAGCACTTCCCCGAAATGGACCCCCCTCTGGCCCCGGCAGATCCGCCCAGACCACAGGCAGCCGGGCTCCCCTGGGCACCGCCTCATGCCAGGCTCCCACGGAGGGTGGCTGCCCGGGGAAGGGAAGGAAAAGGAAGGGGGAGGCGGGGACTGAGGCGTCAACAGTCTTCCCCTCCCTCCATCCCACTCACAAAACCCTGGGGTTCGGTTTCCATCCCTTCTGTGTCTCCATTGCAGCGGAGGAGAAGGCCCCCAAGGCCGCCAGCTTCCCCCAGCTGCCCGCGGACTGCCGAGGGGGCCCCCGAGACGGGCCCCCCACCCTGCAAGGCTCCCCGGGCCCTTGCCTGGCCAGCCTGCGCGTCCCCCTGTCCCCGAGACTCCCCGACGCCATGGAGCTGGCCAAGAGCAAGAGCAAGAAGCGCCGCAACCGCACCACCTTCAGCACGTCCCAGCTGGAGGAGCTGGAGAAGGTCTTCCAGAAAACCCACTACCCGGACGTGTACGCCCGGGAGCAGCTGGCCCTGCGCACCGACCTCACCGAGGCCCGGGTTCAGGTGAGGGCTCCCAGACGGCGGGCCAGGCCGTGGAAGGGCTGGGGGCGGTGGGCACCGGCGCCCCCACAGCTGCCCGTCCCAGGTGCCTGCCCTCCCGGGCTCGCCCTCCACGCCCAGCTCTGCTGGGGCCCCAGGCTGGCGGCCCACGTGGAGGCTTATGCCCGGGTACGGGGGTGGCAGTCCCCTCTGCCGGCGCCAGCCGACCTGGTGGTTGGGGACATGCCATTGTGTGTCTGGGTCTCGGTTTCCCAATTCAGGGAGCCCCCGAGGGCAGCCTGTGGAAGCAGGGAGATGCTGAGCACGTATCAGCGCTGCCCCGGAGGTGGCTGTGGGATGGGAGGGTCTCCTGGGGGTGGGGATGTCTCGGGCTCAGTGACACCCAAAGCCATCCTGAGCCAGTGACTTTCAGTCCTGCCAGCACTCAGACCCTGGCCAGGAGCCTCGCCCCACCCAGCAAACCTCCCAGCAGGAAGCAGGCCCCAGCCTCCTGGAGGGGCCGTGGGGGTCTGGGTGGGACTGGGGGCCTAGGAGCAAGGGAGGGGGAGATGGGAAGTCATGGTCTAAGGCTATTGGAAGTGGGAATGAACTTGAAGGTGGCAAACCAGGGTGGCGAGGGGTAGGAGGCTCCGTGAGCCGGGCCCAGGAGGAGGTGGCCTCGCTGGGAATTGCCTGACAGGGCAGGTCCCTGCCCTGCCAGCAGGAGGCCCTGGGGAGGGCGCGGGTGGGCTTCTGGGGAAAGGCGCAGCGGTGGTTTCCAGACGGGAGACTTCGTGGGGGCAGAGCTTACGCTGTCCCCCCTGCAGGGGCCTCGTTGGAGCCTGTGAAACCCTGGCGCAGGGCAGCTCTGGCAGGATTTGGGGGCGGCCAGCACAGTGCTGCCCAATCGAGAAGGCCCTCCGGCTGGTTCCCACTCAGGGCCAGAGGGGCTCGGGCTGTCCCCGCGTCTGCGCTGGGTCCTCCTGCCTCCGTGTTCCTCCCACTCCTCCCAGGCCTGACTCTCACGGAGCCTCCCATCCCTTCACCACCCCTGCTTCCTGGAACTGTCCACCCGCGCTCCCCAGGGTCTGGGGCCATCGGAGGGAGGTGGCCAGCAGGCAGGACAGCCCAGATTACATAAGCACGAAGCCCAAGCAACAGGTCTCCCTCCCAGGCCTCAGCCAGCCTTCGGGCTGGGCCCTGACCAGCGCCCCCTACAGAGCTGCTCTGGGGCAGACCCTTCCCTCCTTGGCCTTCTCAGTCCTGGGGGGGTGAGGGCGCAGCCACGGCCCAGACCTAGTCCGGAAGCTTCCCAGTGATTGAGGCCCTAGAGTAGGGACACTTCCTCTGATGGGGGAGAGGAAGGCTGGGAGCTGCAGGGAGCTGGCAGGTGGGCGGTCCTCCCGGCAGTGGGGTCTCTGCAGCCCCAGGTTCTTAACTCAGGGCCTGACCTGCCTGCATGGGGAGGTGACCGTGGGCAAGCGTGAGGGCTCAGGTGAGGTTACTTTTACACACACACACACACACACACACACACACCTGCTTCTGTTTGCAGCCCCAGCTAGCTCCCTAGAAAGCAGGGCAATGGTTTGGGTTTGGCTCAGCTTTGATATCGCCAACGACTAGTCCGGAGGCCGACACGTAAACGATGGCCAGCTGCCACCCTGGGGGACGCGGCCATCAACTCCCCCAGCCTTTCCCCTCCTCAGGGCCCTTCACCACCCCCTCGCCCCCCCCCCCCCCCCTGCGCCCCCAGGTCTGGTTCCAGAACCGCAGAGCCAAGTGGCGGAAGCGGGAGCGTTACGGGAAGATCCAGGAGGGGCGGAACCCCTTCTCCTCGGCCTACGACATCTCTGTGCTGCCCCGGTCGGACAGTCACCCCCAGGTGAGACGCCCCCCACCCCCTGCCGAACCCCTGCTGAGCCGGGTGTGCGGGTCCCGCGGGGTAGCCAGTGAGTGTGAGCGCTGGCCCCGGGGAGACCTGGAGGGGCCTCGGGGCCTGCGTGACTTGGGCAAACCATGCCTTCCTCTGCCCAGCGGGCCCCTCGTCACCCTGCCGGCACAGGGCAGCTGGCACAGAGGACTCTGAGGAAACTGCGAGTGTGTGTGTGTGTGTGGGGGGGGGGGGAGATGAAGGAGGAGGGTGGCAGATTCTAGACCTGTGCCAAGTGGAGGCTTCTTGGCAGCGTCCGGAGCCCTAGGGGCAGAGAGAGCCTGGTTAGGGGCGGTCGGGGGCGGACTCACGGGCCTGCCTTCTCTTTCAGCTGCAGAACTCCCTGTGGCCCAGCCCCACGGCCGGGAGCCCCCCCGGGCCCTGCCTGGTGTCGCCGGAGGGCATCCCCTCCCCGTGCATGTCTCCGTACGCCCACTCCCCGCACGGCAACGTGGCTGGCTTCATGGGGGTGCCCGCCTCCCCAGGGGCGCACCTCTACTCCCTTCACAGCTTCTCCCCCGCCCCGGGGGACCACAGCTTCGAGGCCAGCCCCGAGGTCGACTACAAGTCTCCAAGCCTCGTCTCGCTCAGGGTGAAGCCGAAGGAGCCGCCCGGCCTGCTGAACTGGACCACGTGATGGGACGTGTGGACACGCAGGCTGAGCTGCCACCCCCTGCCCTGTGCCCGGCGGCTCCCGCCCCACCCTGGCCTGGACGCCAGAGGGGCACACCTTTGCCTCCGAGCTCCAGATGGTTCCCGGGGCGGACAGAGCCTTTTCTCTTAGAATGAGGCGGGCTGCCCAGGAGAGAGGGCTTGGGAGCCGGTGGGGAGATTCCTGCCTCACGCTGGGTCCCCACACCCACACGCTGGGCTGGAGACTCCGTCCTGCCTCCTCCTTCAGCCCCTCCGACTGAACTGGCTTCGAGGGGAGCAAGACAGGGTGGAAGCAGGGCATCTGGTGACTTAGGGGAAAAGCAGAATCTCCCAAGACCACCCGGGGCCTCACTCCCCTTCCCGCCACCAGGGGGCGTGCACCCAGCGGAAGGCCTGGCAGCTGCGGGGAGCTGGGGCTCAGGTCTCCCCTACTCTAGCCGCCCCTTTCTTTCTCCTGTGCCCCTCCCCGACATGCTGTGGAGTCCTCTTCCCTCCAAGGGGCAGATGGTCCGCCAGAAACCGCCAAATACCTGGATTCTCCTCCTCAGGGTCAGGCCAGAGCTATGCCCCGGAGACCCCGGGCTGCCTTGGTTTACTGGCTGGGCTTTGGTAAGAAGAGCCCCCCCCACTCTGAGGCCCTGAGATCCAGCCCACACTTCTGTAACGACGCTTTTGTACAAACAAGTGTGCTGCCGGCATAGTAATAAAGGTGCAGTGTTTTGGACCCGGTGATTGCGTATGTCCGGGGCTGGCACTGGGTAGCCCCAGGACTGGTGTGCTCAGGGCCCCGGCTGGGCCAGGCCCTCCAGGCTGGTGCCTGCCACGCCTCCCTGTCGCCTGCCCAGGCTCTGGCTGTGTGTACCAGGGGCACAGGTCTCCTTCAGGAGGGCAGATTGGCGGTGGGAAGGAAGGGGAGGGAATGGAAGACGGGCAGGCCCTCTGAGGGCTGTGAGCTCCCCTGGGCAGGACCCCAGAGCCGTGGGGGTGGGGCGGCTCCTTCCCCAGACGCCCTGGGAGCACGTCTGGGCTGTGGGGCCCAGACGAAAGCCAGGACCCTTTCTTGTGGTTTCGGAGTATTAGCCATTCTACCCTTCACCCTCCTCTGCCTTATCTCCCCAGCCCGGAAGGCAGGAAAACCAGGGCTGGCCTCCCACCCTCAGTTAATCCCACCACATTGCTCTGAGCCCGGCTCAGCCGGCAGCCCCGCCCCCCCTCTCTCCAGCGCCTCCTCTTCCAGGCGCAGACTCCCCGTGCTGGGCTTATGCCAAAGGGGAGCAAGTCCCCCATCAGGTGGGCCTCTCTGCGGAGACAGTCCCTGGACTATACGTGTCCCCCTTCTCTTCCCTTCGAGCAGGGCCTGGCCTCCGGCGGCTCCTCTCCTCTCAGTGCGGGCGCTGGCTCTGGCTCCAGGTGAGCCTGGTTCCTGAGGAAGGGAAGAGTCGGAGGGGAAGGGCGTGGCACCAGCTGCCTCCACCAGCTGGTCAATGATGGCCGGGCGAGAACCCATGTGTCTCAGTCCAGGGCTAAGACCGCAAGTTTCTTGCCAGGAGGAGAGGCCTGCACAATGTTGGACTTCCCGACCCACCAGGTCAGAGAGAGCAGTTTGTTTTACAAACCACTCTGTGCCAGGCACTGTGCTGAGTGTGAGACGGAGCAGTGGCCACGCACAGGTTAGGAAAAGATGGAGAGAGGGGAGAGGAAGAGACCTGGGGAAGCCGAGGAAGCAGGAGTGGGAAGGGGACAGATGAGAAAGTACGTTGGAGCCCGGATGCCGGCAGTGGGAGCGGGAGGCGGGCAGAGGCCAGGAGGGGCCGGCGGGGGAGGGCACAGGGAGGCCGAGACCAGCTACTGGCTCCCATCCAGGGGCATCTGCCCACAGCTCATATTTTTCTGTCCAGTGACAGCTAAATGAAGGGAAAGCGAACTTTACAACCACCCGCTTCACACATAATGAATATGAATGGGCATCTCGGAGCCTGTTCCCGGGATTATCTGCGCGCTGACGGGTTCTCCCACTGACGGGGCCATCCCCGCGGCCTGTCCCCGGGCTGGGACACAGGCACCCTTCCACCTGCTTCCCATTAGCATCCCCCGCCCCCCCTCCACACTCCGGCGTCTCACCGCGAAGGCGCAGCCCCCGGGCTCCAGATGCCATGGCCCAGCCTTGTTGGAGGTGAGCGTGGCCCTCAGCCCAGCCCCCATGCTCTCCAAGGCCAGGCTGAGCCTCTGGTCGCCTCTGGGTAAAGGAAGGGGAGTGCCCCTCCTTGGATCCCAGCTCTGAGAGAGCTGCTAGCCTTTGCTAAGCTCCTCTCTGCCCAGTGAGGCCTCCCGGAGGAGCCCTGTCTTGGTCCTGGCAGGGCAGGGGACCCAGCTGAAGAAAGAGGGCAAAGCGGGGGAACCAAGCAGGCCCGGACCAGGCTTCCAGTCTCAGTGCAACATCAGCACCAGACACGGTTCTGAGAGGCCCTCCATCATCCTTCCCACATGCGTTCTTACACATCAACCGGAGTTACACCCTGAAGCACAGGCCCCCTGCCGCCCGACAGGAACAGAGGCTGGCACCGCCAGGAACTGGGCATTCCCTGGACTGGGGCAGAGGGAGAACACACCTCACCACCGCCCCAGCCTCCGCCACAGGCTCCTCCTGGCTGTTGGCTTCGGGGGCTGTAGAAGGTGCTCCCAGGCCCACCCTCCCTATCACCCGCTGCAGGCTTTGCCCAGGCCCTTCTCCGGGAGGCGGCAGAGGCTGCGGCCAGGGCTAGCAGCTCTCCTTAATATTGCCAACGACCTTCCAGCTCTAACCTCCTGTGAATTGGCATTAGCTGCTAGCCCTGGCCACACTATAGCTCTCACCTGCTTTAATGGCTGCCTTTCAGCTGTGCGCCTGGCAAGGAAAGTGTTCTGTCCCCTGGGCCCCAGAACAGGCCTCAGGGCACGCTGGCAGGGCTGCTGGATCAGCGGCTGACTCTTGAGTCTCTGTATTCAGAGCAGCAAGCTAAGGATCAGGGATATAAGGTCTATGACACGGTCTGTTTTCCAGGGGGCACAGGAAGTGAATGCAAATTCACTGAAGGTCAGAGCTGGAAGGTCGTTAGCAATATTAAGAATAGCTGCTAGCCCTGGCCAGTTTGCGAACCAAAAGGTCCCGGGTTCGATTCCGGTCAAGGGCAGGTACCTTGATTGCAGGCTCCTCCCAGCCTGGGCCCCGGTTGGGGCTTGTGCAGGAGGCAATTAATCACTGTTTTTCTCACACCGATGTTCCTCTCTGCCTTTCCTGCTCTCTTCCACCCCGCCTAAAAATCAACGGGAAAATATCCTCGGGTGAGGATTGATCAAAATAAAAAAGAGAATAGCTGCCTTTTATCTGTTGCTTCTGGCCAGCCGGTGTGTAGGTGTCGGCTACCCACTGCTCAGGCCTCATACCACCTGCTGCTATGAAACCAGCTCATCTGGAGAGACGAGCGGGGCTGAGCCCGAGTTCAGGTCCCTCAGCAGCTACAGCTCGAGGCTAGGGTGAACGTCAGGACTGTGGACTCCCGGAGGGTGCTTGTGCCATAGCTGGCAGCCGGAGGCCAACGGTGCCAAGTGCCAAAGGAACGGCCCAGATCCTGCTTGTCTGAGAAGCCCGTTCCTCAGAGGGCAGACAGGAAGCCGGCTCCCGGGAGGTAACGAACAGGCTCGGCAGAGGCAGCCGCACAGCCTCTGGGATCCCCGAGGGAAAGACTTCCAGGCTTGGACGGAAAAGAAGACAAGGTCGCAGCGATAACCAAGTTACCCTGAGGGGGGGGCACATTCGGGGCACTCAGAGGCCGGGCCACAGTCAAGCTTGAGTGGCCACTCAGAGCCTCCATCAACTGACATCTCCCTAGAATCTCTCCAGGGTTCCCGCCGGAGCAAACGCTAAGTGCTGACTAGGGAATGAATCAGCACACGGGCGCTCTGCGGGTAAGTGCCAGTAACGGTGATGAACAGGGGAAGGGTGGGCGAGTGGGAGCCACACATTTGCATCCAGGCTCGGGCTCTTGCTATTCTGTGACCGTGGGCAAGTTCTTTACCTGCTGTGTGCCAGTTTCATCTGTAAAACAGGCTCTGCAGTAACGCTACCTCTCAGAGGTATTAAAAACAATCCGCTACAGACAGAAACACAGAGCAGTGGCTGGCGCATAGTGAGCACCAGGGCCAATCGCTGGAAGCATCAATATCAACCCTGCCTGCCTATCTGGCGCCCCTAAGTGGTTAACTTAAAATATAGATAGATAGATAGATATTATAGATAGATATAGATGTATTTTTTTTATTGATTTCAGAGAGGAAGGGTGAGAGATAAGAACACCAATGATGAGCGAGAATCATTGATCAGCTGCCTCCTGCACGCTCCCCACCAGAGAACAAGCCTGCAACCCGGGCATGTGCTCTGACCGGGAATCGAACAGTGACTTTCTGGTCTACACTCAAACATGGAGCCACACCGGCTGGGCTAAGTGGAACTCCTGATTGACAAGTGAGATGGCCACGGGTTATTCATCCCTGAGTGGATTGAAGGAGCACTGGGCCCTGAGCCTGACTGGCAATAATCATCCTTTTACGTTTCTCAGCCATTTACACGGGGGCCTTCACAGACTCTGCCACCTCATGGCCCAGATAAGGTACAAAGCCAGAGACCGGGTGGTCACTGGCTCCAAAGATATTTCCGTACAAAGACTTGGGTCCAAATGGCCACGCTGCCACGAGCACACTCCGCTATGACAAGGCTCCCTCCCGGGAGGCCCCCGGCCCTGGCCTCCTCCCCAGGCTCTGCGGCTCTCGAAGCAATGACAGTCCGTGAGCTTGTTTGCACAGACACATACAGGTATTTACTGGCCTTGGAAAACCAAGAGGGAAAATGGCACCTCTGGTCAGGGAAGCTTCACGGCAGGGCCTGGGGAAATCAGCGAGGGAGAACAAAGCCGCACCAGGCAGGCTGGCTGACCAGGATGCCTGGGGAGTAAAAAGGGCAAACCCATCTTACCCAGACTGTAACCTCACAGAAAACTGCCTCTAGGTCCCGGCAGGAGGCGGCAAGTCCATCACGCACACACAGCTGTGTCCGATTCCCTGGTCCTGTGCAAGCCACTTTGGGGCAAAATGCCAGTCAGTCCCGGGGACAGCCCATCTCAGAGGCTGTGTGACTTCCGTATACTGCTGGCTACCACGCCTGCTGCCACATCAGGGCCTGTCCCAGAAGCCCAGCTTGGGACCTGGCCTGGGCTCACAGGACCTGGGCAGGACAGGCACTGAACGGAAGAACCAACACAGAGGAGGCTCCCCCAGAACACGTTTCCTTGGGAAGCCAAGAGCCCTTAGAGACTGACCCTCCCGCACCTGCCTACGGGAGAGCTGAGGGAGCTTCTCGCAGTTCTGGAGAGGATGCTCCTTTATCGTCAACAGAAGGGGGAGATCCCAGAAGCAGAGCCGCAGACTGAGTGAGGAGGGGCAGACACGCCCAGGGCTCTGAGGCCAGCTCAGGACTGTGATCCTGAGAAACCTGGAGCTCCTATCACATGACATCAAACCCATGGGTGCAGGACGTGTCACCCAGCAACCCAGAGCCCTGGAGCCGGGCACCTCCAGATGGAGGCGGGGAGAGAGCACTTCGGAGAGTGCCCCATGGGTGGGAAGAAAGGCAGCCTGGCAGGAGACGTGCTGGCAAGAAAACCCCTTTCCAGACCTGGAGGACATGGTCAGGGGCAGACAAGGCCGTTGGGATTACTTTTACTTCCTTTTAATGTAAACAGAATACACAAACACATTAAAAACCCCAACGTGACACAGAGATACACACAGGTTTATATATAGGTATTTACAGACGCTTGCAGATCGAGGGAAAGAGCACCTCTGGCTAAGGGAAGCCTCTTCCCACCGCACCCTGTCCAAACCCAGAGCTGAGGGAGCCGCAGGAGCCTCTGCAGCTGCTTCTGGAGGAAACTCAGCGGGAGGCTGGACTGACATCAGAAACCCCCAAAGCAAGCAGCACTGACGTTCTGGCCCTGGCCCCAGTGCTGTGTCCTCCTAGGCAAGCTGAATCTGCCAAGGATCTGCATGTCTCAAGAAGAGTCAGCGCGAGCCCCGAAATTCAGCTGCGATGGGATCCCAGCCTATCCCAGCTCTTCCCAGCCTTGTGCTGAATGAGAAATGAGCTGCAGCCACCCAGGTCCGAGACAGAGGGCAGGAGGAATGGAGAGAGGGTGGCAAGCAGAGATGATGCTCCCAGGCAGGATGCTGGGATCAACCAGAGCCACGCCCGGAGTGGTCTGGGGAGGGCACAGTGAGGAGGTGCTGCCACCTGGAGGGGGCTGGGCGCACTGCAGTGAACCGGGACAGGCCCTGGGCGCCTGGACACATCCCGCTTCCTCTTGGGTCTCCTGCAGGAGCCTCACTGCAGCAGCTCTTCCCAGGAAATGGGCTTGGAGAAAACCTCCCTTTCTAACCAGAGGTCATAGTTCATCTGGAAGTCCTCAGGGAGGTCCACCCGCTGGCCCAGGACGCTCTGCAGGCAGTTGTCCACAGGCAGGAAGTCGGGGTTGCTGTGGGCCCGGTCATAGCGCCGGGCGTTGAAGCGTTCAATGTTGGCACGGAGGGCACACTCCTCTGCTTGGAAGTCCCAAGGCCGGGCATCCAGATCTGGGACAAAACAGGAAGCCATGGTCAGAGCCAGGCCTCACGGCAGCTCCCCTTGATTTCACAACTTAAGGGCCATGCCACTCCCCCACTTGACATAATGTCGACTACCAAGCCCCATGTGCCCTCAGCAACACCGACAGGACTTCTTCCCTGGATAAAAGGAAAGCCAGGTGAGGGGAGAAAAGCCAGACCTACGAGGAGCCACAGGGTGACACATGCTCTGAAAGCCCCTTGTCCCTGGCTCTCTGGATCAGAGAAGCGTGCAGGCCCCTCACTAGCTCGTTCTCTCCATTCCCTGCCCAGGCGCACAGGCACAGGCGCTGGGCCAGGAACTGAATGATGCGGCAGCATGGCCAGGGGACACCTGGAGAACCCACTCTGCTTAGGAGGCCGAGGCGGCTGCCCAGAGGGGAAGAAACACGTGGACACAGGACAGCGGAGGTATGTGTGCGGGGAAGGCACCCAGCCAGGAGAAGGCACTGAAGAGGGGCACAGATTTGAGTGCCTGTGTGCCCAGAGACCCGGAGTGACGGGCTGGGCTGCAGAGAAGCTGGGTTCCGGTTAGGGAGGAGGAGGAGGAGGGAGGGAGAGAAGGAGGAGGGAGGGAGGAGGAGGAGGAGGGAGAGAGAGGAGGAGGAGGGGGTAAGGAAGGTGAAGGGGAGAATGTGGGCCTCATATGCCACGTTTGAGCATTTGGCTCTAAGTCCAAGGGCAATCGGAGGCCAGTGAAGGCCTTTCCTCAGAGTGCCCGCAGACCGCACTCTAGAAAGATCACTGGAGTGCAGTCTGAGGCTGATGAAGAGCTGAGAGAACTGGTGGGCAGGGGGGAGAGGACAGACGGGAGAGAGAGGCATGACACTTTCTGGAAAAGGCAGAGCTTCGAGGGAGGGACAGGAGGGCAGGCCTTTCCTCGTGCTCCCCGGGCCCCTCAGGCGGCCCGCGGGGGAGTGGCCCTGCCCGCCTGCCGCACCGCTGCAGGCTCACCGTTGCCGTAGGCCCAGTCGTCGTTGAGCCGGTGCCGCACCTTCTGGTAGATGGCGGACATGGTCTTCATGTTGCTCTTGCGCCACTGGCGCCCCAGGTACTTGGTCTGCACCTTGAGCAGCTTCAGCACGTACAGCTGCATCATGGCCTGCTTCACCTTCAGGGCACGCTTCAGGATGGGCGCCGACTTGAACACCACCAGCATCTGGAGGGCACGGCGGGCACAGAGAATGCTGTCTCACCAGCGCTGCTCACCCCGTTTGCCGTCACAGGTGGGGTGAGCAACTGTCCCAGCTGTCCCCAGCCTGAGGGGTTTGCTGGAACATGGGACTCACTGCTAACACCACCAAGTCCCAGGCAAACCAGGACCATGGCCCCAATCATGAGTTGTTTTGGAATCTGAAGAAAGCCATGAATTCCTTCAGAAATACTACAGTTCCCGGGGATTCCCGGCCCTCCCCACCCAGAGGCTCGGGATAAGGTGGACTCCCAGGCCCCGGATGGAGAGGAGGCCCTCCTGTGAGTGGAATGGTGCCAGCCCCCAGCTCAACGTGTCAAGGAACCAGGAACCAGGCCTTAAAACACAATGGTGCAGCCGCAGGAAAGTGAGGAGGAAGGATGCAGCTGCAGCGGCGAGCCCGCCCCGGACCCTGCTCCTGCTCTGCTCCAGGGAGGACGGGCTGGCGCTCCGCAGCTCCCGGATCACGCTGACCGCGCTGACTCACCATCGTTCTTGAGTGCTTCCACTTGGTCAGCTTGTTCAAGATCCGGAGGAGATTGATGCAAGAAAAGAGGTTCCTCCAGCAAAACTGGTTATTGTCGCCTGCTTCCTGCAGGGAAAGCCCAGGAACCATGACCCTCAGGGTGGGGACTCAGCGGCTTCCAAGGCCGGCGCATGCATGGTCTCCCTGCCGGTGCCGGCACCCCCTCCTCTCCTCAGCCCCCAGAAACCCCATCCCTCAGAGCTGTGCCCAGAGTTCCAGCGAGGGGGAGAGAAGCAACTCAGCCTGGTGAGCTCTGGGTCACCAGCCCCTGAGGACCATGCTCCCTCCCAACAAGGGAATCCCTACCCCCCGTATCTTTCTGCCCTACAAGGTCCCTCCCCACCCTTGTGTGCAATTAGTGCTTTAAAAGCCGGGCACTCGACAGGGACCTCATCTGTGAAGCCACCACCATCCTAGGTGGGGAAGCCTGGCTCTGCACCCCCCGCCCCACACCAAAGGGACAGCCGGCAGAGCCTGGCCACTCACCAGACTCTCGGCAGTCAGCTCTGGCAGCTCGTGCACCACGCAGTGAGGGTAATCCAGGACGGAAATGCTGTGAGGGCAGGGCAGGCAGGCCCACCTTGAGCAAAGGCTGGGTCTGGCTCTGCTCTCCTCTCTCACTTGGTGGGATGCAAGCGGAGTCTACCTTGCCTGCACCATCCTGTTTCCAGCTCTAAGGTGGGAACCACTTGCTCCCAGAGAACCTGTAGGGTCCCTCTGGCCAGAGACCAGCCTGCCATTGCATAAGGGGGAGACCCCGCTCTCCCCGCAGCAATGCTCCTGGGCTGCGGGAGACTTAAGCAGTGACCGTGTGCCACGCCTCTCGGGAGTGGCAGCTGATGACTTGCCCTGGGATGTACCACACTGAGGAGCAGGCACTGCCAAGTACAGGTGGCACAGGAGAGAGGGACAGAGGCTAGAAGTCAGAGTGTGACAGCGCACATGGCTGAGCTCCCTAGAGAAAGCAGGCAGCCTGGTTGGCCTCCTCAAAGTAAATTAATTAAATTTAAAAGGCCCGGGACAGCAAGGGCTATACTGGAGCCCAGGATGAGACCCCTCCCACCAGGCACAGACTGAGTCACGTGTCACCAGATAGCTAGACTCAGATCGGACACACTGGTGTTTCCAGGGGCAGGAGCCACGCTTCATTCATCTCTGAGAAGCCGGGCAGTGCTGGCCTGGGGGTGCTGAGTGGGTTCAGTGGGAGCGGCCCACTGGGAGCCCTGCCATCTGTCCCCTGCCCCCCTCCTGAGCCTGTCCCTGTCACCTGTTCTTGGCAGTGATGTAGGACATGATGTTTTGATTGAAGAACTTCAGAATCAAAGGGATGCAGTTGGCAAACACCAGGTGCTGGGCCATGTACTCAAACTGAAACAACAGAGACATCAGCACGCCTCGGGGGCCGCCCGTCTCTCCGTCCTTCCTCCCAGGACAGAAGCCTCGGCTGGAAGATGGATCAGAACATCTGTGCAGAGCTCAGGGAGTGTGAAGGCCAAGGCCTCCGCTCTCCAGGGCTGGGGGGCAGCACTGCCAAACCATGGCTGGTGGGTGGAAGACGGCAGGCCTGGCAGGTACCTGGTAGACGTGGTTCAGCTTGAAGTGCTTGAGCAGCAGCAGCAGGACGGCGGAGATGGCCTTCACAATGACCTCCTTGTGGCGGTTCACATCCACGCCCAGCTTCATGCTCTGCAGCACCGTGGTGCTGAGACACAACGGCTGGTGAGCCCGCAGCTTGCTCAGCGCCCTCCTCGGGGCTCCCAGGAGCCGGGACTCCTGAGCCTTCTCTGGGCTAAGGCTCCCACGCCACCCACCCGTGGACATCTCAGGCCAGGCCCGGGGCTCTCCCGCCCGCTCCCAAGCTCAGCAGTTCTCTTCCTGAGATGTCCAAACACACCCGTGGCCTCTTTCCCTGCCTTTCCTCCACAGTGAACTTCTCAAGATCCCCCTACGCTTCTGCCACTACAGGGACCTGTTCTCACGCATGCTCTGTGGAATGCCACCACATGGCACACTTCATGTTATGGGGAAAACTTAGGAAGCACTGAGTTAAATAAGTTTCTTTCCTTTTTTTTAAAACTTATTTTTCAGTTACACTCGACACAATATTATATCATTCCAGGCGTGTAACAGTGCTTAGACACTTAGGTCAGTTTCTTGATTCAGGACTTCTCACTGTAAGAGGTGCAGTACTTGACTCTGGAACCCCCTTTCCAAGGACCATCACAATGGTCCTGGGTTCCAGTGTAGACTCTGCCCTGAGTGGTACCTGAGTGACCGGAAAGTCCTCACCCCGCTGCAGAGCGAGCCGGGCTGTTCTAACACCCCCTTTGGTATTAGCCAAGCCCCACCTCTGGCCTCACCTGCCTTTCACCCCAGACTCAAGGAGCCCCGCCACCAGGGAGCTGGGCGGGATGAGCGGGCAGGCGGCCAGGTCAAGGCCACGTCCCTCTCAAAGTACAACACAGGCTCAGTTTGTCCTCTCTCATCAAACAGAGGCAGGCAGTGCCCAGGGAAGAAGTGTCACCTGAGACTCTCACAAAAGGCCCACAGGCCGGGGACTGACCGGGAAGAACCCGCACCAGGGAGGCTCAGCGCTGGCTGGGAAGGCGTCTCCACATCCTGTGTCCCAGCCGCACAGCTCCAGGGGCTTTGGGAAAGGTCGCCCCAGCCCGGCTCGCTCTGCAGCGGGGTGAGGACTCTCCGGTCACTCAGGCACCACTCAGGGCAGAGTCTACACTGGAACCCAGGTCCAGATGGAGACATTTAACCCAGTACTTTTTTTTTTTTTTTTTTCCTTCTGAGCCAGGAATACCCTCAACCTGCAGAGAAGTTGAGTCAAAAAAGGAAGCAACCTCCCAAACCTGGGACCCCGTTCTACTGCCCCACCTGCTCCACGCACAGGGGGGACAGTACTCACGGCATCTCCTCAGGCAGGACGTCGGCCAGGATGTTGATGGAGTCGGTCTTGGCTTTGGAGGTGGGGGCCGCAGCCAGCAGGATCTTCAGCAGCGCGATCTGGAGGACAGGAGCGCCCAGGTGAGCCTCAGCGGAGAGGCGGTCCCCGCAGGGCTCCGGGCAGGGCGCGGGGGGACTGAGGCGCCGGCAGGGCGGGCGGAGCCGGAGGGCGCTCACCATGTACTGGGGCAGGCTGGGGAGCAGGCCTTGGTACAGTGTCTCTGCAGGGACTTGCTCGACTTCCTCTTCTCCCTTCGGCCACAAAGGGAGAGCTACAGCCCGTCCTGACAGGCTCCCGGGCCAGCTGACTCGCTGGCCGGAGGAGGAGCCGTCAGTCTTGATGTGAACAATGATGCTGAGGTGACAGGAGACCTGACTGACACGGCATGCAGGCACTTGACTTGTAACAAGTCAGGCCTCACTGCGCTCTGTGAAGGGGTATGATTATTACTGCCGCCTCCCAGGTGAGGAAACGGAAGCACAAGGACATGCAGTCTCCTGCGAAGTTGTCACCCACTGAGCTGTGGCGTTCGATTCAGAGGTGGTGACTGGCTCAGAGCCTGTGCTCCTAACCCCTGCAGCAGGCAGGCTACCCCTGCAGGGGGAGTAGGAAGGGGGCTGCTCCGAGGGCAGCACCAGGCAGCACCAGGCAGCTTCGAGGTCTCGGCCCAGCACTGTGCCTGGGAAGAGCAGAGGGACCCTGTGGCTGAGGAAGGCCCCAACTCACCCCTGAAAGAGGAGAGCGAAGGAACTCCTCCTCCATCTGCGCCTGGACCTCTGCGATCGACGTGTACTTGTGCTGGGGAGAAGGGGGAGGCGCTGGGGAGCAGTTCCCTCTCTGGCTACATGCCCCACACCCAATTCTTTAAACAATCTTCTCCAAGAGGGAATCTCCACAAAGACCCCTCACTAACCTCCTAAACCCGAAATAATTTTCTAAGTGAGCAATTGCCTTTAAAAAAAAAATTTTTTTTTATTGATTTCAGAGAGGGGTAGGGGAGAGATAGAAACACCAATGATAACAGAATCATTGATCGGTTGCCTCCTCACACCCCTACTAGGACTAAGCCCAAAACTGGGGCATGTGCCTTGACCGGGAATTGAAACTATGACCTCCTGGTTCATAGGTCAATGCTCAACCACTGAGCCACATCAGCTGGACAGCACTTGCCTCTTAAAACCATTGTAAAAAGCACACAAGAGATTAGAAAAAAAGCAAATTAAGAGAGAGAAGGGGGCTTTCAGATAGCTATAGTGACAGAAAAATTAGTCCAAGCAGAATCAAGTACTCAAGTATTCAGGATCAAGTACTCAAAAAGCTTAGGTGCATGGGGACCACTCAGCACTAAACATTTCAGAAACACATTCCAAAAACATAAACATTTACACTCCAGATGGGTTGTTAGGGAGACACCTCTTTCCCCCTCTTGGTGTCCCTTCCCCTGTGGAGGGATGTGGGTGTGCAGTACACCCCTGCCCCTCCCACACACCCGCCGGGCTGGCTGGGCAGAGGAACAGGACATTCTGAGCCCACCCCTTTCGCTGTTCTCTTTGACAAAAGCCTGTGCACTCCTCTGCTCCCGAGCATGCCTGGCGGGCTCCAGCACGGTCGGCTCTGGGGGGGTGAGTCTGCCTCATTCGGGAAGTCAGGGCTGGGACATCTATGGCTGCTATGTCCTCCACCGCATTCTCTAATCTCTCTGCCATCCTTAAGGCTGGGGTTTCTATCTCCACCTGCCTTCTCCTCTATCTCAATCACCTTAGAACGTGAGCCAAGAAAGGGGGCTGTTTAGTGGGCCCTTAAATTTCCAACAACTGTCAGGTAATATAATCTTGAAGAAGCCACAAAAGCCCAGCTGGAATAAGTAGAATTTACAAAGAACTGCTGAGAGGTACCGCCGCTGTCCACCATGCCTCAGCCCAGGCTCCGTCAGGCCGACAGTCTGGCTGGCTTCTCCCAGCGGGCCGATCGCACTTCGCTCACTTGGGACCAAACTAGGCCAGAAGCCCAGCCACCCGCCTACCTGCTTCAGAGTCTTGATGCTTTCGTGGATTGGCCTGGGCAGCCCCACCACCGTGTTCGTGTCGCTGAGGATAAAGGAGGCCTGTGTTAAGCCCAGACAGCAATCCGCCTGGGTCCCCAAACACCAGAGGCCAAGCGAGTGGATTTCTCGTTCGCTTTCTTCCAAAGGAACTCGGATCTCACTCACCTGCCCAGAGTGTAACCTATGAATTTGCTGCGGCTGGACTCGAGGAACATCTCAATGTCTTTCTCTCTGCCCAAGAGAGAGAAAGGCTTTTACTAAAGGTCATTTCAAGGAGTTATCAATGGTTAATAAGATACAGAACATCCAGAAATTGTGGACACAGAAGAAAATGTCTCCCTCAACTGTTTTTCTTTATGGAAAAAAATAAAACCTTCAGACTATTTTAATGTCCTTCTTAACATTGAATCAACGATCTGAAATTATGTGATGTGTACTAGTAACTTGTTTATGATACTTGTAAAATCAGTGGTACATTGAATGAAAAGCATACTATATTCAGAAATTAAGACCTTTGTCAACAGAACTCCTTGAATATTTATAATTTTTACAACAACGAGAGCTATAAGCTACTGATTTTTTCATGAGTCACATTTTCCTGTCAAACAATCAGCATATCTTGCATTTTCTGAAGACCTGTGTGTATACCCATCTTGGATCAAGAAAAACTGGGGCTTCACCTGGATGGAGAAAATGACTTCTAGATCCTCTCACATGTCCTTCTAGTTCTTAAGTTGGAGCCATTTCAAACAGACGCCATTTCTATAGATCAAGGTGCCTTCGCCCACTGATTCATCACATACATTCAATACCCGAATTATGGCTCTAAAGGAGCTCTTCCTTAATCTATATCTTTTCTGTTAATCACATACAACACCGGGGGGTGGAGATGGGGTCACTTAAATGCCCTTGTCCTCATTTTCCCACCCCCTTCCTCACTAGTTATCCTGCCTATCCAAGAGCCAGCTCCGATTACCACCCCACACAAGGGCCTTTGTGCCAGGCCAGCCCCAACGACCCGGCCAGCACAGGGACTGGAGAGCCTCCTCCAGAGCCGAGCCCGGCTGGCCCAGCAGAGGACCTCACGTGACCAGGCCAGGTGCCAGCCTGCGGGTGTGAGGGCCCTGGTTTCTGAAGGTGTGAGACTCACCTGACCTTGGGCGCCCAGGGGAGCCCCTTTGGGCAGGTAAGCCTGTCGGTCTGGGGGTGCTGCAGTGGGGGAGGCATCACCTCGTCCCGCTCGAGGGGGAATGTCTCGCCCTCCAGGCTATTGTCGTCATCATTCTCTTCTTCCTCTTCCCGAGCGTCGTCGGCTTTGTAGGGGTCCCGCTCGTTGAAGGCGTCCAGGTTGTCCTGCTTTATCAGCGCCTGGAGACGGGGGGGAGCACACGAGAGCCCCTGAGGAGCCAGGAAAGGCTGAGGAAGCCTCAGGGGCTGCGACACCGCAAGGGCAGTGAGAAACCAGACAGGAAGTCACAGCTGGGACCAGATGACAAATCATGCTTGCTCTAGTCCCTCCGGAGTGCCCAGTGTAAGCTGGGACCTGAACCGGGGACAGTGTCCCTGCCTGGAGGCCTTCCTCTGACCGGCGTTCAGAGGCCATTCCCAGCCGAGCTTGTCCAGGGACCAGGCCACTGTGTGCAGAGAACCTGGGGAGCTGCAGGGACCTGTCGCTCACCTTGTGCTCCCGCCGGCCCCGCTTCTGCTGCTGCTCGATCAGGTCGGAGGCGGAGGCGGGCGGCGAGGCGGCCCGCATGTTGCGGATCACCTTGATGCTGTCCTCGGGCAGCGGGGGCAGGCCCAGCAGCGTGCGCTTCTCAGCCTTCATGCTCTGCAGCTCCTCAAAGCCGCCCAGCGTGCACTGCGTCAGAGGAGCAGGCCGGGTCAACACGCCCACAGGCTGTGCCAGGCGTGAGAGCACCAGGACCCCTTTACAGAGACCCTCGCGGCCTCTGAACAAGGGGCTCTATCCACCCCCAGGAGAGTCCAGTGAAGCTGGGGAGGGAGAGGAGAAACGGGCTGACCGAGCCCAGTGCACAGGCACGTTCCGCTCTGTGTGTTCGCCATGCTCCTCACGTACAAGAGGCAGGCTGGAGCGCCTCCCCTTCCAGCTCCACAGCTGGCCCATCTGAAAGGGAGGGTGACCCAGGGGGAAGAGTGGCCAAGCCCCTCTCCGGCCCTGTCCCCTGGCTTCCCCTCTAGGAGGTGCTCACCAGGACTGTCTTCCAGAGCAGCAGGAGAACCTTCTTCATGGGGAAGTGAGGAGCGTGGCCACTGCAGAATTTGGTCACCATCCCGAACAGCATGATGGCGAACGGCTCGTTGTTGTACAGCGGGGAACCTGGAGGCGACTAGGGCGTCAGGAGCTCACGCAGGAGCAGTGTCCTCCCGAGCCCACCGGCCTCCGCTCCAGGAGGGGCCTCCGGACAGGAGACCCGGGTCCTACCCAGCTCGGCCCGGAAGGTCTGGCGCATGGTCCTCCACTCGGCCTTATCGCCCTCGCACTCCTGGTGAACGGTCTCCACGATCAGGTACATGATGTTGAGCAGCACCCTGGGGTGCGATACCAGAACGGAATGGGGTGTCAAGGGAGCACCCTGACACGAGAAAAGCCTGGGTGCAAAGGCTGGCAGATGGGAGGGCTGTAACCTCCAGGACACTGAGCATCCCACAGAGCACATGGGCTCCCTTCTGTCTCGTGTGCTAAGGTGGGACCAGATCTGTCCTGTATTTCCATGTCTAGCAAAGTGCTCACTCAAAGCAGGTGCTTGGCAAATGGCTGCTGAACGGATTCATGTGGACAATGGCCACGGCATTTACTGCCCTGAGCTCCCTGGAGTGAAAAAGACCCCGCGGTGGGAGAGAGCTGTGGAATCTACCACAGCAGGGCAGGGTGGAGGTGAGACCACGATGTGTTTGCCATGGAGAGAGCAAATCAGGAGCGAGCAGGGTGATGCCGGGACACTAACTACAGCAAGGACACCACCAACACCCAGTCTGGAAACTTCCAAAGGCACAGGGACAGGTTCTAATCCTCACAGATCGGGGAGGTGCTCTTGCTCTTGAGCAGCTGTGATAACTTCCTGTGCAGCCACGAGCCTCATGAACTGCCAGGACTGACCCTACGAAGGCGGGGGCAGCTGTGTACGAGAAGGTGGGAGCGTGAGGAGTGGATCCAGTGTTCCACCCACTAGAAAGCCACCCGGAGTTCTCAGCAGCATGATTTCCTCTGGGAGACTCAACCCAGAGCCCGGGGAGAGCCCCCGCAGGGCTGAATGATCCCACCAAGCCCGGCACACCACAGCTCAGCGCGTGAGAAGGAACGCGCACACGGCCACACCGAGAAAACCAAGGGCGCCCCAAGCCCTGCTCTGGCCTTGCTCAGGCCTCACCTGAGGTCCGTGCTGTCAGCCAGGGAGATGGCCGGCTTCCGCACCGCGCTGCTGCAGGCGGCGCTGTTGCTGCAGGAGAGACCGAGTCAGTGCTGCCCCGGAGGGACCAGGCCCCTGGACAAGGACTGCCCCACCGGAGATAAGACGCTACGACTCATGCTGAGACTGAGGCTTCGGACCAGACCCTCAGGACTGGTGCCATAACCTCCCCGCCCCCCGTCCCGGCCCTCCCCTCGGGACTCACTCTATTTCCATGTTCAGAAGCTCCACCAGCGCGTGGAACGTGCCCACCTCCAGGAGCAGGAAGATGTTGTAGCGCATCCAGGCCTGCACGTCCGCCTCGGAGCTGCACTCCCCGAAGGTGCCTGCGGACAGGCACAGCTCAGAGCCCTCCCAACCTGACCGGGCCAGCACTGAGGGAGGGCCGCGCCCTGGGTCCCCTCAGTACCTTGGGCGACGTAGAGGATTGCCCGGGCCACCCTGAGTCTCTTCTCCCTGGCAGTGACCTCCAGGCCGTCCAGGAGCCTCATGGCGTGGGTCCGGTGCTGGTTAGTGTCCAGCTCGGTCCACTTCTTGTCTGTCACTGGAGGGCAAGAGACCAGTTCCACCTGAGGCCAGACAGCCCCACCACGGCCCAGCACCGGCTAAGCCACCAAATGCAGGCCTGCCTCGGCATAGGGCTCAGAGAGCCAGCCACTCTCCCCATTGGGGCTCAGGTCCCCTGCTGCCCGAGGACCCTCCGTTTTCAGACCGAAATGATGCTGTTTTTGGTGCAGTTTTAATCAGATCAAGTTTCTTTTCTTCCTAAGACTCACAATCTGAAAAGCCACCGTCAGAGGACTCACAAGCCCCTCTGCATGGCACAGCTGGCCTGGCCCGGCCATGGCTCAGCAGGCTTTGCAGGCCACTCCTGGGTGACTGAGGCCACTGAGATGACTAGGAGGAACCCCAGCTCTCACGACACAGGTGAAAGGAACCGAGGTGTGGAGGGAACCATCTCACCATGGACGCGGAAGTCCTCCTCGAAGCATTTCCGGTTCATCAGGAATTCTGGCCCCTCCGTGTAGCTGTAAAGCTCTGCGAGAACAAAGTCTCATCAGCTCTGTGTCCACATCCCACACCGGGGTGCACAGGCAGCACAGAAGGCAGAGTGTCTGCTTCCAGGTCCAACTCCGTCTTCACTGGCTTATGCTCGGTGAGGACTGGGGCCTAGTGTCCGGTGAACAGGACGGAGAAAGCTGACTTCCCTGCAGCCGACCCAGGATGCCAGTGCAGCCTAGATCGGGTCGCCCCGCCTGGCGCACGTGGATCCCAGCAGGCCATGCCGGCGGCTGTCTCTCAGTGGGTGCCACCTTTTGAAGAGGCTTGTGGAGCAGCTCAGGGTAACCTCACATTACACAGGGCAGCAGTGGCAGCGACAGATGTGCGCAGGTGCAGGCACCCATGCTTGCACTCCTCACTCTGTTCACACTGAGACTGGGCCACAGCCACCAGAGCCGACCACCCAGAGATGCGTCATTGAAGTAAAGGACAGGCCAAAGTTAAGGGACACTCAGGCTGGCATTCAGCAATGGACCTGTCTTATAAGCATCATTACTAACTAAGACTAGCTAGGGGGGGAAGCGGACTCCAAAATGGCACTCACTCTTAATTTTATTAAAGACCAATAAGGTAAAAACACCCCAAACAACACAAGGGTCCCCCTTTACCTGAGAGCTCGGCTGCCCACTTGTCCGTGTCAGCATACTCAAACTCCAGGTCCGGAGACTCGGAATAGCCCTGCAGAGACAGGAGAGAGGGGACACATGGTCGCCGCTTCCCACAGGAAGAAGCACGTGCTTCCAGAGACCCTGCTGTGTGAGGGGCCACTGCCTCTCCTGGGCCCACGTTTTATCAATCAGTCTCCGCCGCTCAGGTCTCCAGCACCCGCTCGCTTCCTTCAGCGCACCTGTCACTCGCGATCCAGGGGCCGGCGTATGGGTAAATGCCACCCTCCTTGGCTCTGCAAGTTCTCTGAGAGGCGAACGCTGTCCATTTTGCTCACCATTGATCCACAATGCCCAGCACTGCTTGCCGTGAGTGAGTGAGTGAGTGAATAGTTGACTCAAATAAACACTTGCTGGATGAATGAACACAAAGCTTCTATGCATTCCACGCAGTGAATGACCATTCGCCCCATATGGGGCCAAGGTTCCGGCAGCCTGGGTTCTCTCTGGCTAGCGGGCGGTCACCAGCCAGGACAGCATGATTACCGACCCCCTCAGCCTCCCTGCCCTTCCTCCCTTCGGATTCCAGTGAGCACAGCAGCTGAGCAGAATGGCTTCCCTCCCGCACTCAGGAGAGAATTCACTGCTGGGGCAGGTGACCACTGAGGCCTCCTCTGGGAAGAAGAGACGTGGGAAAACAGGTGAAGTCCTCAGCCTAACCACAAGCTCCTTGGGAAGACAAAGGCCGCCCACCCACGAAACCACTTAACGTGCCCACAAACACGGAATGACATGGAGACTCCACTCCTAGTCAGAGGCAGCACGTGCACAAGGTGCTGGACTTCAGGTCTTCCTTTATCGAGTGAGAGGTGACCCACACCCACGGGAAGGGTTTCGTTGTTAATCCTCACTCAGGAGATTTTTTTCAGTCATTTTTGGAGAGAGTGGAAGGGAGGGGGAGGGGGGAGGGGAGGGGAGGGGAGGGGAGGAGAGGGGAGGGGAGGGGAGGGGAGGGGAGGAGAGGGGAGGAGAGGGGAGGGGAGGGGAGGGGAGGGGAGGGGAGGGGAGGGGAGGGGAGGAGAGGGAAACATCGATGTGAGAAACATCAATTGGTTGTCAAACTCGAACCCGGGACCCTTCTTTAAAAATTTTTTTTTTTTTTTAATTTCAGAGAGGAGAGAGGGAGAGATAGAAACATCAATGATGAGAGAGAATCATTGAATGGCTGCCTCCTGCATGCCCCCCCACTGGGGACTGACCCTGCCACCAAGGCATATGTCCTGACTGGGAATCAAACTCGGGACCTTTCAGGACCCAGGCCGACGCTCTATCCGCTGAGCCAAACGGGCTAGGGCTACCGGGAAGGCTTTCAAGCACTCATCAAAATTAGGGTGGGCTCCCCGCAGGGCCAGCCCCGGTCCTCCAGGCCCTGCCCTGGCTCCCAGCCCTAACTGCAACTGTGACTCAAGCACGAGCCCACACACCATCCGAATCTCTAAGAACACAGGTCTCTCAGCTCAAACGTGTTCACCGACTGCCCTTCCTTGGGTTTCGCCCAAATGGAAACGAAAGGGTAGAAAGAGAAATTTAAATGCGCTGGAGGGGATTTACTTGACCATTCGCGGCTGCTTCGGAAGATGTAAAGCTCTTTGAAACTGCAGTCCTCTCCTGATGAAGGCAGGGTGGCCCCACCGCGCTCACACCCTCCCTCACCGATGCCAGCCCCCAGCACAAGGGCTCCGGAGAGGTGGGCTTCTCTGCTTTTGCAAATAATTCCCTGAGAGCTCAGGGGACGGTCTGCTTTGGACCTGCCAAGTTTTGACATGTTTTACTAGCGCCAGAGGTTTGCACTGGCCCATAAAAACCGCGGCCTGCCTTCACACGTCTCAGGATGGTGTCCTCGGTCCCCACGGGCGCGGCGCACACGCCGCCGGGACAGCGAGGAGGTGAGGCGGTCCTCCCGCACAGAGGGAGCCCCGCGCTCGGCGGCGACGGGAGAGTCTCCATTCATGAATTCTACCCCGGGCGGCGCGGGAGGGACTCAGCTCGGGGTGAGGTGACAGTCCGCTCCAGGCCACGGCGCCGCGGAAGGGGAGGCACAGCCCACCAGCCGGGGAGCAGGGGGCGCAGAGCCCTCACTCGGGTCTATGGTGGGCATTTCTGATCTTTCAACCGATCGGCATGGGGCGCACCGAGCACCCCCACCTCCAGTCACCGGCGCACCGGGGTCCAACCTGTCCGGCTCGGGTCGGATGGAAGGTCCCCCCCTCCCGCAGCCTCCGGGCGCCGCGGTACCCCCGGAGGTCACGGCCCCTCCCGGCTCCGCGCGCCCGGGGCCAGAGGCGGAGAGGGCGGGGGTCGGGTCCGCCGCCCGGCCGCCCGGCCCCCCGGCCCCCGGAGCGCACGCGGGCCACCGACTCTTCGCCCCAAGCCGGGGGCTCCGAGGGCGCGGTCCCGGCCCCGGCCCCGGCCCCGGCTCCGGCTCGGGCGCGGGAGGAGCGGACGAGCGGCCCCGGCTCCCGGAGGTTCTCCCGGCGGCGGCGGAGCTCGGGGCGCGGACCCGGCTCCACGCCCCCGACCCGCGGTGCCAGCCCCCCGCGCTGGCCCGTCCCATGTGAAATGACAACTCGGCCGCCGGGTCCCGCCGAGCCCTCCGGGACCCCGGCGAGGACCCGAGAGCCGCCGGGCCCGCGCCCCCGCCGCCGGCCAGCCTCGCCCCCCGAGCCCTGACCTCCGAGTCTTTGCGCTGGTTGCGGTTGAACTCCCGGGCTTTGCCCGCCGGCAGGAGACCCGCGCCGGCCCGCGGTGTCCCGGGCGGCGGCTGCGCGGCGGCGGCGGGCGGCGGCGGCGGCGGCGGCTGAGGCTGCTTGTTGTTCAAGATGAGCGGGCCGGGGCCGCCGGCTGCGGGCTCCATCTTGGCTGTTCCACACCCCCAGCTCAATTCCCGGACAGGCAGGAGCCGCGAGGCCACTCTCGCGAGACTTCTTCTTCCAGGAACGCTCCCCGGCCGCCATATTCAGTGTGGCGGCAAGCGCCGCCGCCATCTTGGCTGCCCTACGCCTCGCGAGATTTCCTCCGCTTGATTGACGTCTTACATCTTTTTCGGTCCTTCCAGTTTCCACTTTGTTTCAGTCTCAGTTTGTCTTTTTATCCCTTAGTTCCTTCAGTCATTTGAGTTGCCCCCCCTCCCCAACCTCCTTTAACATGGCTTTCTTTGCATTTGTCACTATAATAGTCCTGATCAACGCTTAAGGGTAAGGTGACCAGATTTTAACATTGGTGAAGCGGGACACCATTGAAAGGAGTGGGTGGGAGGAGTTTCTTGATTAAAAATTTGGTCTATATGGAGCAACAAAAATTTTCATAGAACGCAAAATTAGTGTGTGTGTGTGTGTATATATATATATATATATATATATATATATATATATATATTCTTTTTAAATAACTAATGTACAGGCCCCTGACCAGAATCGAACCTGGGACCTTTCAGTCCGCAGACCAACGCTCTACCACTGAGCCAAACCGGTTTTGGCTATTTTTTTAAATTTCAACATAATTACAATTTACAAATATAGTAAATTAAAAAAAAGTATGTATAGTCGTGTCACTTTCAAGGCCTGTGCTAGACTTTTTGCCGCCACTATAAAATAGAAACAATACTAGTACTGTCTGCTAAATTAAAAAAAAATTATGTATTTATGAAATAAATTACCTAAATCATCTGAATAGCTGATTTGTAATGACATCATTGTTTAACTAGCTTACTAGCACGCAGTATGATGTGTATCATCTGAGACACAGTTACAAAATATTTTCGTTGTTGCCAATCCCCAAAAATGCCATTGTTCATTAAGTCCAAACAGTGGTGGTTGAATTCTAACAACTGATCAACAATGCGAACTTTGATAAGAAGTTCTCAACAATTATTTGTTATTATTAAAGTTTAACATTATACAATTAACAAAAATAATATAAAACTCATATCCTGGCTAAATAGCCACGTGGCCGCCGAAAACCGTATATTCCCTTCTTGTTCTCCTGCCGCTCCCTAGCTTGTCGTGCATTCTTTCCAAAAATGGGGATTTTTTTTAAATGCCGAGGGATGCGGAATGCGTGACAAATTGTTAAAAATCGGGACTGTCCCGCCAAAAGCGGGACATCTGGTCACCTTAATCTAGTAGGGTAGCTACATGGAACTGTGGGAAGAGTAGCACCCCCAGAAGGCATGGAAGCTCTGGGCCTTGCCCCAACGAATCTCACTCATCTGTCTGTTCATGAGTTATATTCTTTTTTAAAAAATATATGTTTTATTGATTTCAGAGAGGGAGATGATGGAAACATCAATGATGAGAATCATGGATCCGGTGCCTCTTGCACACCCCCTACTGGGAATCAAGCCTGCAACCTGGGCACGTGCCCTTGACTGGAATCGAACCCGGGACCCTTCAGTCTTCAGGCCAACGCTCTATCCACTGAGCCAAACCAGCCAGGGCAGAGTTAGATGTTTTTATAATAAAACAATGTCCTAGAAAGTAAAGTATTTCCCCGAGTTCTGTGAGCCTCTATAGCAAATTAAATGAAACTGAGGATGGGGGGTCATGGGAACCTCATATCTATAGCAGCTTGTTCAGAAGCAAAGGTGACAACTTGGACTTCCAACTGGTGTGTGTTGCAGGGGGGCAGGAGAATGGGGTCAGTCTAGTAGGGCTAATTGACTTTCTTTCACTTGTGGTAACTGATGCTATCTCCCAGTAGATAGTGTCAGAACCGAGCTCCTTGCTTGGTGGTATTGGAAAAAGCACGCTCTCATTAGACCAGGAGCTCGGAGAGAGAAATGAATGATGCAGCAGAGGGGATTTTCAGGCAATAAAATTCTATATGATTCTGTAATGATGGATACAAGTTATTATTGCATTTCTTCAAAACTGATAAAACTGTACTGCACAAAAGGTGTAACTTCATGTACGCATATTTTCAAAAATCATTTAGGAGCCCGTCTAGCCATCGTGGCTCAATGGTTGGTCATCGGCCCATGAACCAGGTGAGGTTGATTCCTGGTCGGCACACATGCCCAGGTTGAGGGCTCGATCCCAGTGTGGGGCATGCAGGAGGCAGCCGATCCATGATTCGCTCTCATTACTGATGTTTCTCTCCCCCCCTCTCTGAAATTAATAATTATATATATATGTGTGTGTGTGTGTGTATATATATATATATATATATATATATATATACACACACACACACACACGAATAGACAGATGGGTGAGAGGTGGGACAACTTTTAGGACTGACTCTTTTCAGCATGCACTTCTACCCTCAGGACAGGTGTTCAGTAAGTGTGCTCAATTAACAAATCCTGGGAAGGACAGTCACTTACAATTCAGCTTTTTGCGTGGAAGCACCCAGCTGTCAAACTGAGCCTTGTGTAGGGGTCAGGAAACCCCATCCCGAGAGAATAAAATTTCAGGCAGTGATCCAAAAATGGCCATAAACAGAGGGCTGCTTGGATGCTGGGTATCAGAAACTCACCCGTGGACATGCTGGCTGCTGCCAAAAGACAGCCGAGTCACAGAGAGCAGTCAGCGTTTGTGTGCTGGCCTTGGGAGCGGACCAGAGAGGCCTGATCACCAAGCCTCGCCTTCTGTGATCCCTTCCCTTTCGGCACGTGGTGTGCGTCCGGAAGGTCTGCCGCCGCAGCCCTGCTCCTGGCCAGCCTTCCCTTCCTCCTCCGGGCAGCTCCGTCTTCACGAAACCCCTCCTGACCATGCCAGCCCGTAACTCACGTCCTCCCCTTCCGAGCTCATCTCTCCCAGACCTGCTTCTGAGCATCTTTCAAGGTGGTCTCACACAGTTCGAGCTCTTGATCCATTTGTCTTCCTTGTTGGTCTAACTTAAGGTGTCGGGACTTTTTTAAAACGCCGCGGGAAGTGGGACAAATTGTTAAAAATCGGGACTAATATATTGTATATGTGTATATTTCCTAAAAAGTCTGGAACACTCTCAATTTCAAAACACAGGGGTTCAGAAAAGGGGTGGTGGACTTACAATTTATCATCTTTTGTTGGCCAGAGACCATGTGTCACAAACCAGACGTGAGAAAATCTGCCACCTGGTGGCTGAAGCAGAGCGCCCCGATTAGAGCTCAGCAGGAGGGGTAAGATAGATCAGAGGATCGCAAATCCAACGCCCTCTGGCCCATCACCCAGAACAATTAGAGGACTGGTCCCCATCTAGAAAACAGGTTCTAAAGAAGCTGTGCTGTTCAACCAAGAATGACAGACTTCCAAGGTGATCTTATCGTTTTAATTAACTTTAATGATTATTGCTCATCTGCAAGGATTAATATTGCATTCATTAAAAATCATTCAATACAAAATAAACTTGTTCCTCCCAAGTTGCTTTCCACATGCTCCCTCTGGGCCAGACATTTGCCCACCGTGTCCTTGTTACATGGCTTGACAGAGACGGAGCCCTTACCTATTGTTCCTATGGACACAGTAATAGATGTGGGAGCAGGGGCCGGCCAGAGGGCAGCAGGACCTGGGCCCCTTCCCTCCAGCAGAGCTGGACACCCGTTGGCCAGGTTACTTCCCCTAAAGGATGTGGTGTTCTGATTGGCTGGTTACATGCCCTGGGGGAAAGGGCTGGAACCCTTAGCATCTACAGAGAAGCAAGCATGGTCACACTGGCAAGGAGTGGAAGGAACAGGAGAGGAAAAGGAAAAAGTTTGGCAAGACCATTGTCCCCTGGTATGATATTCCTGTTTTAATGTCTGTCTCCCTGATCAGTGGCGCGGGAGACGGCAATTCCTAGCACCTCGCACTAACCCTGGCCCTGTTTTGAAGGGTCACAGGCTAGAGCGAGCTGAGGAGTCAGGGTCCTGGGGCGTATATACTTAAAGCGCGTGACCTAAAGCTCACGTGACCATGCAGAAACGCTGGAGCAGATGCATGGCACAGGGATGCAGCTCTGAGACTGCGAGAGCCTCTCTGGGGAGTTCAGAGCATGCGCCAGGCCGACTGATCACTTTCTCTCCACACAAACTGCCCGTTACCATCTTAGTTCAGCAAGTCTGTGTGACACTTGTCCATCAAAAGTGGTACCACTGCTGCAAAACTAATGCTAGATGGGGCCTAACGTCCCAGAAAGTTACCTGGGACTGGCCTTCCCTCCCCGTGGCCCAGTGTGGATGTATCCTGCCTCCTCCCACTCTAGCTCCTTTAATTATGTTAGGTTGCATAAGCATAGCTGGCCAGAAATTTGCTCTTGAGGGATAAATCCTAAAGATAGGGCTCAGTGCTTTATACTGAGTAACGGTTCAAGAAATTTGCCTTCAGCGCGAGCTGTAGGGCAGAGCTGGGAGAGTTGGCTGTTATGGCCCCAGATCGCTGAAGCTATAAGCTGTGGGCTAGAAACAGGGATTTATCAGAGTTGGAGACCCACGTTGCTCTAGACTCAACTCTGTCCTCTTAGCGCCAAAGCTTTAAAAGAAACACTGATACCAACTAGCCACCCAAGCAGTTTCTCAGCGTTAACACTAAACATGTGTCTTACTTTTTTTTTGGTACAACAGAAACAAATGCTAGGGAACAGAACTCAACTTAATAGAGTGCAGTCTGGTTAAAGATGTGAAAAATGAGGAAGTCTGGAAGAAGGGCTGTTCTAATCCACGTGGGCCTATTGGATCTTAACAAGCAACACTCACTGTGCACGTATCTGAACCAGACACACCACCTTCACGCAGGAGACAGGGCTGGAACACCTGGGGGGGTTGACATGCACCACCTGCAACTGGCCTACCTGGCTGGTAGGTCCCATCCCTGCTCCTCAGAAGTCACAGAGCACTGATTTCAGCAGCTAAGAAGTGGGCTCTTTTAAGGCAAATTAGACATTGCAGACTGTTCCACCTAGAAGGTACCTTACATTTCCTGTGAATAAGGTACCCGATTAAGACTAAAGTCCCCAGAAATGGTAAAGAAAGACTCCCTTTCTGGGCTGGGAGAATAAAATCCTCCTTCACTGACTGGGGTGAGGACCCTGAACCTCAGTTTCACCTAAAGAGCCATGAAGCAAGTTCCTATGTAGTCTGCAGAACTTGGATGATGAGATGAAAAAAACAAGAATGAAATTATAGAAAAAAAACACACACACACCAAGAGGAAAGGAATAAGAAGAAACTAAAAGATGTTTAAAAAAGATTTCTTGTAGAGTTGTATGGTTCACGTGGACTGGTCCTTGGTAACATGGTCCATTAGTATCTGCAAAGAGAGATGGATGACTTAGCACTGTGTCTTCCCCGTGGGAGCCTGAAGAATCAGAGCCAAACACAATGCCCGGGTCCCTCCCCGGCCAGGCTGGGTCCCTCCCCGGCCAGGCTGGGTCCCTCTCTGGCCAGGCTGGGGTCCCTGCAGTCGCTCCCCAGGGATCAAGCTTCCCTGCACTTCCACCGGTTGCTGACGATGCCCTCTCTGGTCTCAACTCCTGCTCCCTGGCATAGGAGTCAGTGTTGAACACTGACTACACATTGGAATAATCTATGAGCTTTTACAAAACAAGTTGGCCCCATCCCAGAGCAACTGTATCAGAATCTCTAGGGGTGAGACCCAAACTCCAAAATTTTAGGAAACCTTTGCTCTTTACATTTGCTAAGAGATATAGCATTTCTCTGCCTACCCTGTTAGTGCGGCAGACTTCCTGAACTCTTCCAAATCAGGTATGACATTAGCTTTAGTTAGGAAAGCTAGTAGTGGCTTGCTTTAATATTGGAGAAAAGAGCCTTTTCACTTGCTTTCCCCTAAGGTACCTGTAATAATTGGGTTTGAATGGCCCATTTTTGTTGAGTCCCAGGTATTTTGCTTGGTCATCTGTCAGCTCTGTCAGGTGGGCATCAAATGATGGCAGGTGCAAGCTGGCAACGTACTCATCTAGGAAGAACAAGGTGGCGGAGCAGACTCTGTCTCAGACATGCCTCCTGAAGCTTTTTGATTACAGACAAGGGATAGAATACTTTTGGGAGAATCTGTAACTTGAAAATGTGCTTACAACCTCGACCGCCTTTCTAAGCAGGGACCGTATCCCAGTCTAGCCAGAGAGTGTCTGGAGAGAACATCTGCCAGGATGACAGCATGGGAAGACCTGGACCGCCCCATCCTTCTCTGGCAAAGCTCTGGCCTCACCTCAGCGGCATGAACCACTCCCCCCTTCCTGTAGCAGCTTCCCTAACCGCACTAGAGTCAATCCATGAATCACAATGGGCACCGGGATGAATGCTCAAAGGGGTCTGTGTCATCAACATTCACTTAGGGCCAGATCCACCAAGGCTTCTGATCTTAGGATCGGGTTTCTAAGGCAGTTGGCACAAACGTTACTTTTCCATGATAAACTTCCTGGGCTTCATTTTTAATAAAAATATTCATTTTTATGAATATGATTAAAAAACAACAAAAAATGATCTCAGGTAAGCTACTGGAGGTGAGGAGGACTCGAAGTTTTTTAGCTTTAAGAGGACTGATCATTTGGGCTGATCAGTTAGAGGTGGGGGAATGGGCACCACAATTCAGGGAGGTAAAGAACTGGAGAGATGTACTATGTCACACGAACACAGCACAGCTGTTTGCACATCTACACAGAGCATGATCCAAGCTGCTTTGTCCTCTGCTGCACTCGGACTTCCTCGGCTGCGCGGAGGAAGAGCACCTGCCCACATGCTGTGTGCTGAGCACGCTCACTCAGTGGCTGGAACCCTCACCACAGTTCTGCGACGCACGCAGTACCGTTCTCACTTTACCGATTAAAAAACAGCTCATGGAGCTTAGAACTTGTCCTGAGTTCCAAAGCCTCAATGTAGGAACAGGGACTAGAACCCGCCCTGACTCCCATGCCTTTATGGTGCTCATCTGACCAAACCACGCAACTGGCCGGGACCACAGGGGTTTCTGCTGGTTTAACTCACCCATTTTCTTGGGCAGCAAGTACACGTCTTGCTTGTAGCGTCCCTCGGGGGCATTGTAGAGCTCTATCAGCGCCAAAGCCTACGTGGGAGGAGAGGCTCAGAAAACACACACTTTGCAGGCAGCGACACAGCAGGGCCCTCTCCCTGGACCACTGCTGTGGGTCTGTCCGCTCGCCTCAGTGCAGGACAAGGGGCATGATGTCACGTACCTGTGTGGTGGCCGTGATGGACAGGACAAAGGTGGGGACTGTGGAGCAGCTCAGGTTGAGCAGGCGCCCCTGGGGAGGGAAAAGGAAGCCCTGGGTGAGGATGCTGTCCCATCTCACGTGCCAAAGGCAGCAGGTCACACAAATGCAGGGGGACCCTTTCTGCCCTGGGCTCAGCAGGTGGAGGAAGAGTCCCTTCCAGGCCAGGTGTGTCTTGCTTTTTGCAAGTCCTGAGTCTGAGAAGCTGAAGCCTCAGTTGTAGTCAGGAAGCAGTAAGTTACTTAGTCAAAAGTAGATAGTTCTGGGAGTGATTCTACTTTGGGAACCAAACCATTTGAGAAATACACTGAGTGGCCAGATTATTGTGATCTCTGAACACATAATAATATGGCCACTCAGTGTATATCCTATACAATAAAGGCTAATATGCAAATTGTCCCCTCGACCAGGAGTTTGACCAGCAGACAGGCTGGCCAACCAACTGCCCATGTCCCTCCCCGTGACCAGGGTAGCCGGACCCCACCCATCCACGAATTCATGCACCGGGCCTCTAACACACACACACACACACACACACACACACACACACACAGTCCAGAGATCATAATAATCTGGCCACTCAGTGTATATTGCTATGCACTGAAGTCTAGGGAACAGACTCACTGTTTACCATCCACGCATGCTCGGCTCTGGCGCAGCCCTGCCGTGCGTACCTCTGCCAGCAGGACGACACGCTTGCCGTCTGGCCAGATGACATGGTCCACCTGAGAACGGACCCGCTCCCACGTCAGCTCTGGGGTGCGCAGGCTGGTCTGAAAGGCAGACAGCACAGGTGACTGACTGGCTCGTGGGACAGGAAGAGGGCAAAGGCCTAGAGGGAAAGCGTGAGAAGCCTCACCACATCAATCTCCGTGTTGGAGTGGCCCATGTTGCACACGATACAGCTGTTTTTCATGCGGTCCAGATGCTCCCGCGTCACCACGTTCTTATTTCCTGAAAGAAAAGGAAGGACTGAAGAGGTGCTGAACGGAGGCGCCAGGCGCTGTGAGAACGTGGAGAGGAGGTTCCTGGCATTACAGGGCAGGGACATGAGGACAGACATGTATGTTGCACAACGAACAGCCTTCAGGTGATGCTACTGGTGTAAGATGCGCGGTGCATGAGCCGTGGGACAGCTCTGTTCTGAGGACGTGCCCAGGCCGAGCGCTCCCTCCTGCTCAGTCACCAAGTGAGCGCGGGCCTCGGTGAGTGACGTCAGTCTGACCCCCTTGGGGACAGCTCGAGGGAGACTCCCCGCAGACAGCACGACACTCACCTGTGCAGGTGATCACCACGTCCACTTGCCGGATGACTTCACTGAGCTTTACCACCCTGAACCCGTCCATGCTGGAAGAACAGGAAGGACACTCTGAGCAAAGCCAGGGGCGGGGGCCGGAAGCTGCCACTAAACGAGACTAGAAGTTCCTTTCCGGAGTCAGACCCAGGGCCACCCCCCAGGGACGGTGAGTGACAACTATGCTCAACAACCCACTGGCCTCCTCAGACTCCCCAAGATTGCACCCTGGAAGTGAAGAGGCCCTGGGATTACCCTGGAGGGACAGGGCAACCCCAGCCTCCTCCTCTGAGGGCTCTGCAATGGTCCGTACGATCACTCACGGACTCTCAGAAACAAAGCACATGGCGTGAACGAACGCCGTGCTTACCAGGCCTGCAGAGCACAGATGGGGTCGATCTCCGTGATGTAGACGATGGCGCCGAGGGCCTTGAGAGCAGCACAGCAGCCCTTCCCCACCTACAGAGCACGAGAAAGAAGTCAGGCATCAGGTCCGCCTGGGCCTGGGCACCGGGCAGGGAGGCCCTGTGGGAGGCGGGAACTAACTCCCTGAAGTCACCAATCATCTCACGAGCCCTGGCACGAAGGCTCCAGCCCAGGCAGAGTGGAGACAGGTCCAGACTACGCTGCGACATTAGTAAGACATTCCCCATTGCATACAGGGCGGAGCTTGGGACAATAAATGAGATCAAGGGAACAAAAGTGCTGCCAGTAGGGAAACAAGGCCAAGAAGAGCAACTGTAACTCTAGTTTCTTAGTCCAGAAAGACCTGGCCACTCTCATTGAGATGCATTAAACTCAAGGATAGCCTAGCAGCACAGGAACTTGTGGGGCCATCGCTGCCGACAGCACAATCCCTTCACCACCCTCGCCTAGAGATAGGCAGCTGCGTGCCCGTTGGATTCCACCCTTCCCTCCTCTGCCATGCGCTTGTGGGGCTAAAATGCAACATAGTAACTTGAATTAAGTCTCAGAAAAAGCTTATAAATGAGGGAAATGGTCCTAGCTGGTTTGTCTCAGTGGATAGAGCATCAGCCTGCAGATCGGAGGGTCCTGGGTTCAATTCTGATCAAGGGCACATGCCCGGATTGTGGGCTTGATCCCCAGTGGGGGTGTGCAGGAGGCAGCCGATCAATGGTTCTCTCTCATCATTGATGTTTCTGTCTCTCTCCCCCTCTCCCTTCCTCTCTGAAATCCAAGAAAAAAAAAAAAAAAAAAAAAAAAATATATATATATATATATATATATATATATATTAAAAAAAAAAAAAATGAGGGAAATGATGCCAACATCCCAACTCATAAGACAAAGTGGTAAAACCTGAACTTGATTCATTCCATGTCTTTATTCACATCTGAATAAAGGACATTTGCTCTTTTTTTGAGATCCACTATCTGAGAGTATTTTAAACCTGCGTCAGTGCGGCCACCCTGGGGGCGCAGCCTCCAGTGACATTTCTGGAAAGTCCATGAAGAGACGGGCGCTGCGGCCCAGCTAGTTACCTCACCGTAGCCACACACCACCACCTGCTTCCCCCCAAACATCACGTCTGTGGTCCTCTTCAGGCTGTGGAGACAGACAGGGCTCAGTTCACACATTATTAGCTCCAACCCAGTCCCTCGCACAGAACTCAAAGTGGGGGCACGCCCACGAGAACTGGGGGCGGAGAGGCTGGGCTCCGTAAGGACCGGACCCGGAGGAAGACTGACAGGACAGCACTGCGACCCACCCACGTGCACGTCCGGAAGCCTGATACCCGTGCTCTTCAACCTACCCATCCAGAATGGACTCTCGGCAGCAGTACAAGTTATCAAACTTCTGTTTGGTAACAGAATCATTGACGTTCATGGCTGGAACACAGAGCTTCCCCGCTTTGGAGAGCTGATACAGCCTAAAGGGAGAAGCCACAAAAACAAAACCAGTTAACAGCTAACCAGGACGCGTGGCAGCATCTGCCTAACCCTCTCCAAGCTCCAGCTGCCCTCCCTCCCTGCCATGCCCAAGGATGTTAGCAAACAAGATGATCTCCTCGTCATCCCTCCTCACTTTCCTTGTCACTCCCGCCCCCTCCCCTTTACTTGGAAGGAAAAAAATATCCTTTCAATGGAAGAAATTTACTTCCCTTCCATAAAAAAGGATGTGTTTCCTTAGGCCAGCATCATCTCACTCTTTACCATGCCTACTTCTCATAAACAAAGATGATCAAGGATTCTGATTCGGTTCCCTTGTGCGTGAGAGCAACGTGCCATGTGCCCCCAACTGAGAAACACTTTTGCAAGCATCATTTAGGTACTCTGAAAAGCCGAGAATATTTTGCCCCGTTTTCTTTTTTGTAGCGTATCTGACATCAGTTTCACGATAGAATTTTTTTCTATTTTAAGTATAAAATTATAATACAATATTGAATACAGTTTTTCAAGACATACTCCCTACCTCCCAACACTGGTTGAGAATCACAGTGGAGTAAGTGGGAGAGAAAAACGTGAGCTAGAACCTGGAATAACTTCCTTTTAGGGTCTCCTGGGTTTTTCAAAGTAACAACTCAACACCTACAGGTCTGCAACACGCCCTACAGCCTGAGAGAGCCCAGAGGAACTCGCTGAGCAAGGACACGGGGCGGCTACTCCAGCGTCTGTTACCTGTGCACACCAGTCACGCTCTCTTCCACAATGCCTCGGATCTTCTTAAACACGTTTGGATACTTCTTATAAACCCAGTGGGTTAAGTCTCCCCCATCATCCAGGATCTACAGAACAGCCAGAAGACTTCTATGGGCATTCAGGCTGCTAGAGCTGGGGGGGACTGCGAACCTCTTTCTGCACTAGTGACGGAGGAGCGCTGCTCCGAGCTCCGGGAGCGGGCTGGGACAGTGAGCAGCACCGTTTGTTGGTGTCAAATGGGTAAAAGGATTCCTGACTTTGTTCTGGACTCTAGTGAAGAGTGTTAGGCTACTCACACACTCATTTTTAGCTGAGTCTTGAAATATACAGCCCCTTTCAATGCCAAAGGAGTCGGGGCAGGAAGGAAGGAGCCAGACTCTACTCCGCAGAGGGACCACATCACTTCCTGCCGTCTCATCCTGCCGGGCTGTCTTCCCCTGCCCCCACCTGCTCCGTCAGTACTCAGTCCGGTGCTCAGACCCTCTCTGAAGAGGTAGCAGGCTAAACACTTTGGCAACGAAGCAAGTGTGTCAGACCAAATTTCCAAAACATAGTCAGGGAACCATGCTGTCTTGTCGTGTGTAGCATTAATGTGCAAGATTACCATGTTGGCTTGCCAGCCGTCCATGTTCACACAGCGGTCGATGCACCACCAGAAGTCGTCTTCCGACTCGCCCTTCCACGCGAACACGGCAACTCCTGCACAGACGGACACGGGTCAGCCGCTTCCTCCTCAGGGCGTGTCCTATACCAGCACCGCTCTCTGGCAGGGCTACAGAAACTGTGCTGGGAGGGCAACAACTAAGGGAGGGCAGAAGGCACAACAGCGCCTCTGAGGTGAAAGCACTCTTCCACGCGGCTGAGCACGACAAACGGCGCTGCCCAAGCTCTCAGGGCCGCGGAGAACCGCTTCTGATGACGTTAGTTGGGTTATAAAATCGCACACATACTGAGAGTTAGGTCACCTCTGTAAAGTGAACAGAAAATTTTTAAATGGTCAAACTGTCTCTGGGTAGCAGGATTATGGTGTTTTATTTTGTTCTGGAACCTCCTCAATTTTTTTGTGACAAACACCAGAGAAAAGTAAATAAGACAAACGGAAGTGTTACAAAGCTGCTTTCTGAGCATCCTAGGGAGAGGCGAGAGCCTTAAGGAAACTTTGCAGTGATTTTCTTTTGAACATGTGACAACGACCATGGTCTTATGTTAATTGAACTCCTGAGAGGTCACACATTTCCACGGTAACAGTGAGACCAACGCAGCTAACGTGCTATCGGTGCGGAAGGCACTGCTCGTGCTCTCCAAAAGGGGTGCACCCTGGGTGGAAGGAGACCTGCTGAGCTCGTACATGTTAACATACTTCCTCATCCATTTCCACATGTATTAGTCTTTTCAAAGATCCCTGTCAATGCTATGTAATATTCCATCATGGACATGAACCTTAATTTTATTATACATTTTCTTCCTGTTGATAATTTTTATTGTCCTCCAAATTTTCCAGCCCCGAGACAGACATGGCACTGTAGAGACGATTGTGATACATAAAAGTTATGTTTGGAAAATTATCTTGAGGCAAAGCTGGTAATAACAATAACAACAAAAGCTGAGACTTACCCGCCTCAGCCAGCGCTGCAGCCACTTCGTTCTGCGTGGAGTAGATGTTGCAGGCAGACCAGCGGCACTGGGCCCCCAGCGCACACAGCGTCTCAATCAACACCTGCGGAGACGCACAGGAGAGGGTGAGGACGGGGCAGGCGGGGCGTGTCAGAGAACCTACCCAGCGACTCCGCAGCGACAGGGCCACGGGGTGTAATCCAGCGAGACAGCACACTGGTATCTACCACTGCCCAAAAGCTATGTCCCTAAAAGTCTTAGTGACACTTTTATATCAATCCTATTTTTGCAAAACTAGATCTCCCTAGCTCAAGGTTGTTTGTTACAAGTAAGCTGCACCCATAGTAGAAAGCCCTGTATTCAGTAACCATCTTAACAGTACAGCATTTGGAGGCTGGATAGATTGGGAAGGAAAAGTAAGTTTTAAAAAAAGTAGTTATTCCCCCCTCATCAGAAACCCCTCTGTTTTCTCCCAACCAACTCACCGCAGTCTGGGCTGTGATGTGTGTACAGCCCACTATTTTAGCACCAGCCAAGGGCTTCTCCCCCTGAGCGCGTTTCCTGAGTGAAATCAGAGCAGACATGTCTGTGAAAGAACAGAGGATTTGAGCTAGGTCTGCACTGGCAGGCTCACAACTCCTGCCCGGCGATGGCGAGGGCGGGTCTGGATCTGCTGAGTGGCGGCGAGACGAGGTAGAAAAACTCAGCAGAGTTCTGATCTGATAACTGGCAGCTTCAAAACAGCCGTGGGGGGTTGTCATCCAATCACTTGGAATTTCTGCCTTCTGTGCAAAGGGCTGAGCAGAGAATGAAGTAAATCCTCAAAACTGACCAGAGGGAGGGTGAATGTGACCATGCACTTGGGAGAGAGGGCAGCCATCATGGCAGTGGCCCTGGGCTCCTGCATATGCCCCTCGCACCAGGAAGAAGCCTGCCCCCTGCAGAGCCCCTGGCTCCTGTCGTGCCATGCTGTCTAACCCATCTCAGTCTCTCCAGACCAGTACAGCTCAGGGGGAAAGCAACACAAGAGTGAGGAGGCCTTCCTGGGTCTGGGACGCAACAACCACGATTTGACCGACTGTTAGTCATTTCCACTCTTGCTCCAGCAGAGGGTGCTCAGGACCCAAGAGCAACTGAGGCCCTAGGTCCCCACATCCTGCCGAAAACCCTCCCACTGTGCTGCTGCTGGGAAATCTGGGCCCAGAGCTGGAGGCTGGGGCAGATCCCGCAGAACCAACCACCTCGCAGCAGTGAGCCCAGACTTGCTGACGCTGCAACCATATCTCTGGACTTGGTGCCAGGGAGAGGGGAGCGGGGGGAACAGAAACTACCGTCTATGACCACATGCTGAGAACAGGAAGCAGGAGGGCAAGGATGAGAGTCCTGAGGCTCAAGCCCCGCACAGAGATGCCTCTGTACAGAAGTCCAGGATGCTGGGTTTCCCCCGAGACTTTCAGGTTAGCTCCCAAGCCTCAAGCTGTGTGGTCCGGTGACCAGAAGTGGCTGCTTCTGGTCCCTGCCCGCTCCCTTCCTTTACCTTGCTCTGCGATCTCAATCTCCCGGCGTCCAAATTCCGCCTGCTTGATGTTCTTCACGCAGAAATTGCTGCTGCCCTTGGAGTTGGTTTGCTGCTTATCCCGGGGGGAGACCTCATCATCAGAGCTGTCGGTGTAGGACGCCGCTAGAGCAGGAAAGAGAAGAGAGAAACCTCAGTGGCCCCAACTCCACTGAGTGCGGCCCCAGGGACTCTCACTCTCACTTCACTTAGGCCAACACCCTTCACTGCACCATGTGGTCCTCACTCCCAGACCTGCTCCCTGGGCCTGTCAACGGGGGAATCCACTAAGCTGTGACCTTTCAGGGCTGAGGCCCTGTCACCACCCCAATGACACTCCGCCTTCAGTGCCTGCGACGAGGAGCCACAGGTCTAGTGAGTCCCAGAGCATTGGCTCCCTGGCTCCCAGCTGCATGGGACTAGCCATGGCAGAATGGGAGAGTAAGTTAGGGCACACAGGAATGCTACTTCCGTAGATTACCGTCTCAAACTTAAGCACCTAAAGCATCTGTCAGAATCTCGTGGAAGGTTTGTTAAAGCACAGTTCACCAGAAACCCCTTCAGAAGGTCTCAGGAGGAACCCAAAACTGACATTTCTAACAAGTGCTGCTGCTGCTGTTCGGAGGGCCACACTTTGAGAATCACAAATATGGAGGAAAGTGGAAAGACAATCTTACAAGGGCTTTTATACTAAGTTGTGCACGGGGGGTGGGGGGGCCTGAATGAGGAGCCCCTCACACCGTCCAGTGCTGTGTATCTCCGGCACACAAACCCTCAGCTTCTATATCCTTTCCAAGTGAACCTTCTGGTACCTCTCTAAAGGTGAGGAGGGCACAAAAGACCACAGCCTGGCTGGTGTGGCTCAGTGGTTGAGAACTGATCCATGAACTAAGAAGTCACAGGTTCAGTTCCTGGTCAGGGCACATGCCTGGGTTTTGGGCTCAATCTCCAGTAGGGGGAGTGCAGGAGGCAGCCGGCAGATGTTACTCACTCATCAATGTTTCTATTTGTCACTCTCCCTTCCTCATATTTTTTAAACAAGGACCACCTCCATGGGGCTAAGTCAGGAGGGAAGAAGTAGGAAGAAACAGAGCTGGAGCCACATAGTCTTCCCCACTGCAGAGGTAAATGGGGAGGATACTTCAGCAGAGAGGATAACACAGGAAATGAAGGAAGCCGGAATAGACTAATCTTTACTAGTACAATTCAAGCAGTTCTTGGAGGCAGGGACTATTTTATATAAAGATCAGAAATTATGCTCAGAAATTACCAAAGTACACCTCCTTTCAAGGCCAGTTTTGTCAGCCAAAACACCATTGATTTTCTCCTTTGGTAATGTGGGCGGGTAAACAGACCAACGTGGGAGCGGGAACCCTCCCAGAACTACCAGCCAGGCACAGCCACAGACCACACACGGAGACAGGCTGGGAAGAAAGCCTCAAGATGACAAAAGTGTCCCCAGCGACAAGGCTGGCTGGGAACAGTCCCATTGCCCAACCACTAATGACCGGCTTCCAGCAGAGATGGCAGCCCTGACAGAGGTATGTGCAGATCCTAGATAAGCGCCCTGGGAGAGAACTGCTTGGCTCGGGAACAGGAGACAGCAGTGCCCGGGGCCTCACCTACCTGAGCTGTAGCTGTCGGTGGAGGACTGAGAGATGGACCTCGACAGAGAGCGGCGGCCTGTCTTGGTGGGGAACTTGGTGAACTCCTGCATGTCATCAGCAAACTGGATTTGCTAGAAGAGGAAGACAAAGGATTCTGTGAAAGGTTCCATTTTAAGGCCACACGCTGTCCTCCCTAAAAGCTGTTACCAGGAGGCCCCCACCGCCAAGCCAGCAGCTCCCCTCATCCCACCAGACGGGAGGACAGGCAGAGGCTGCCTTCTGACACTTCCTGACGGCTATTTACTGTCTCTGCCCCATTGTTTCAGCAGAAATTGTTTTTTGGGGTAGGGGTGGCTAAAGAACCAACTTCTTTTGGTTTCTGTCCAATTTCACAAATTTTCCTTCCCGTATTCCACGAAGTTTTCTTTCCTCTTATAACCCTTTACCCTGCCCTCCTAACTCAATTAAAACAAATAAACAAAAAAACACAGGCATAATCTCATATTGCTTCTGCCTTTTTTTTTTCTTCTTGTTCTCAGAGTATTCTCTTGTAACACATTCTTATCCTGAAGTTAGCCATGGTCTTCTCTTTGGAGAGAACCGCGAAGATGCTTGATGGCGATGAGCACTGGGGTCAGAGGCCAACCATGCACCTACCCTCCACAAAGCCAAGGTCATACCCCAGACCTCCATATCTAGTAAAATACCAGACTATTCTAATGAGAGAGAAATTAAAACACTCATACACACCATAGTCAATTCCAGCCAATTAGGACTAATTTGAAGGTAGGGGACAATAACGACTTGGTAAACGCTGCATTAAAAACTTCCTTAAATGAAATAAATCAGAACTTGGTCATTGTTTAAAGATACTTAAAAAACGGCTTTAATAAACTGCAAATAGCTTACAATTAACATTATTTATAGGCAAATTAATGGGTGTTTCTCAAGCGAATGAATTTATTCTATAAATGGTTTACACCTTCCTCCTGAAGTCCTATTCATACCCTGATAAACACTTTCTTTAAACTTCAGCTCCTGGAAAGGAGAAGGGGTCGGATTTCCCTCCCAGTCTGACTAAACCATGGAAAATCCACTAAGCTAAGTCTCCAGCAAACATCTCTGGAAATGGAAGCTCTCCCAGGGTAAGCTCTCCTCTCCCGGTTAAATTTAAATGGACTTTAACTAGTTTAAGTGCCAAAGGCATAACCGTCTTTCTTAAAACAAAAACACATACGAAACCTCCCCTCACTGAGCGGCCACAGCTCAGCATGTGCCTTCTTTCTGCACAGGATTTCCCATTGCATGGTAACGTGACTGAAGTCAGCAGAGCTAGTTCTACTGAAGAGACTAATCCAGGACCAAGGTAATGACTTTCACCCCTGATTCTGGTGGCAGGAAAAAAACAGTCAGGAGACCATCATAGGATGCTGAACACTCCCAGAAGGTAGTCCGTCCTCCCTGGGCCTCGTTGCTCCTCCCTCACAGCCTATCTGGGAAGCTGCTGGTGGCCAGGCTGTTAGGTAAGGCTTCCTCCCCTGTGCGTATTTTTTCAAAAGGTTCCGGGTATGTTCCCAGACACCACTTACCAGGGGCCAGGGAGGGAACTGCAGGAACATTTGCAATTTTTTTTTTAATAAAAAGGAGGGGCAACTGTGGCAAGACAGATGTGTTTCTTCAGCACCCTAAGACCCGAGCAGTCACAGTCCACCTTGCATTACTGGAGTTCATCAGTCGCCTAAAGTTGAGCGAATCTTCCCACTAAAAAGATCAGACTGTGCGGCCAGCGGCTTACGAAGCAGTGCAAGCCCCACCCCTTAGATGATAAACTCGGCCCATCCTTAAAGTGCACAGAACGCTAACTCAAGTCAGGACACGGCCTGGGTGGCTGTCCCGCCTTGTAGCTTTTTGATCTGTTCATGGCTTATAAAGATGCATGAGGACCCGGCTCCTCTCCCACCCCAAACCTCCAGGCTGCAGAGAACCTGGGTCCCAACTGTGGCTGCACGGCCAGGAGCCCGGACTTTCTCTTGGCGCAGTGTCTCTGGAGTGTTGCTCCTCTTCACAGTGTAAATAAAAACACTGTTGTCAAAAGCAGCTTTGGGACCAGATCTCTAACAGCTCCTAACTGGGTTGGCCTCCCTGCATCGAAGCCAACGTTGTTCTGTTCACATTACTTCGCACTATCACGATTTCTTCTGATCATGAAGTCTTCACTGGCGTCCTGCAGTTTCTTCAAACCCAGACGTGAGGGCAATGCCAGGACGAAAGATAATGCAGGGGGGGAGGGGGGCAGGAAAAGGAGCTAGGTAGCTGAAAATCAGAAAGGCCTGCTACAGAACTATTTTGTGTCTGGTTTCTATCCAGTTTCACCACCCTATAAAACAGCCTTACCACACCTCGCACACCAGCATTCATTCTTGAACTGCTAGTACTTCACATCTGAGGCAGGCCAGACAGAAGGTCCGATTGACCCATTCTCCAACTACAGCCGTCACTGGCTGTGCCTTCAGAACTAATCACATGCAGGCTGTGTAACGTGCTATACCCAGGGAGCAGGAAGAACTGCTGTGCAGAACTCACCCAGAAAAAGGAATCGCAGGCACCCCAGGAGCTGTAGGCCTCCAGAGAGGACGGATGGCGTTACCACTCGTGCAGTTGATGCCAATAAGGAACTGAGAAGTTTACTTTCACACCCACCGGATCGAGCTACTCAGATGTTCAATCGCTTAGTTACACTCACTTCCCAGGCCCCACCCAATTTTGCCTTTTAGCTCTTGAGTGAGAATGAAAAACTACCAAAATCCCACTGTGACTCACTGGCCACGGGATGGTGAGCAGCACGGTGCTCACCGAGTATGTTCTTTGTCAGCACGTTTGGTAGGCGCCCGCCAAGTACCCAGTGCCACTCCAGGAAGACTGATGAAAGGAAAGATGGTCCCTTCCAATCTGTAGATGTGCTCTGACCCACAGTGAGATTGATGACAACACAAATGGGTTGGTCACAGCATTTTACCGCTTCTTTGGGAACATGCACATTTTTATGTTTAAAAATTATAGTCAGTAAATTTCTTAGCTAACCCTTAGCAACTGAGCAAAAAGGTGACTGCCAGAAGCTAGAAAGCTGGAAAGGCCAATTACTGAGCAGTGTGCTATGGCTCCTCCTGATTCCCAGTGCATCCTCGGTAAGCCCTCTCTCACATCCTCTGGCCCACTTATCCGTGTTCTAGAGTCTACAGGTTCTCTCCTCACAGGGAAGGAAGAGCATATGGCTGTCAGCCTACACCGGTGGAAGAATTACCAGTGATCGGTCTGATTCCCAGTTCAAATGGATCCAAAGGAACAGTAATCAACAAACACCCACTTTGGGTACAAGAACTACAGAAGTCCAAACATCTTTTCAGACTTCCAATTGGATAAAAGAAATGTCCCCCCAAAAAGGGCACCCCCTTCCCGACAAGGTTCAGGTACATCCCTAGAAAACACTTCATATTACGGAATCACGCTCAGGCCACGGAGTGACCTGCAGCCCCGACAGTCACTTCTATTCCCAGAGCAGAAACCAGTCTCCGAGCGGCCAGGTCCTCAGTCCCGTCTCAAGTTTCTTAAGTTCCCACTCACCCCAGATGGGGCCTGAGTTTCTGGGGAGCAGGGAATGGGCAAGCGAATCACAGCACACATGTCTCTCCCCCACTCCACCTGCCTCCGTGTCTCAACAGGAACAGGACATAACACACACCGCTAGAATCCAGTTCCAGTAAGAACACTCCTTCCAAATGGGGTTCAACTTGATGCTTCATCGGCGTCGGGGGAGGAAAGGGAGAGGCAGCACCGGCCCACTCTGCTGAGTCACTCAGCGGTGAGGAAAGAACATAAAGCTTGAAAACCTGTGCCAAAGAGCAGCTTCACCCCCACAGCCACTCCATCTCCTCACACGAGACAACACAGCTCCCTGCTCCTTTCTCTCCCGACGTGATCTGGTGGAAACGAGTGATCTGCGCTGCCAACTGCCAGCAGGCAGAGAAAGAGGCTGCTTGCTCCGTGGGGCAGGGAAGGGCTTCCCAATCTTTTGAAAACCACAACCTACAACACAGCAACACACCATCCGGACCAGGTTTCGATGTCAATTTAGCTAGCGACCTGTCTGTATTGTCCTCATCCTCAACCCACCATTAATATTATATGAAAGCATGACAGCCATTCTTCTCTGTGCCCGACATTGAATTGTCAAAAATTAAAAACATTTTTTGTGCAGGTGACTGAAGAAATCTAGGTTCCTGGAACATACCTATAACTTTAGCAATAAACCCCTGCCTCCCCCCAGCTCACCACCACCACTGTTGTTCTACTTATTTCTCTGAATTTATTATGATAACTTTCAATACACAGATTTTTTTTTTTTGAAAAATAGTATAATGAAACCTTATATGCCCTCCACCTCAATTGAATCTTTCCATTTTCCACATTAGGTTTCTTTCTCTGAACTGTTTCCTTCCTGTAATCGGGCAGTTTGAGGTTTGGTTAGAAAGGTTAAAATGCTGGCAGGGGTATTTCACAGACAGTGTTGTATAACTCACTTTGCATCATCTCGGGCACACAGAATTGGGTTGTTCCACCGAATGCGACACTCGGCTGAAGCCTTGGTTACAGTGAGGCCGTCGTGTTTGAAAGGCGCATCTATCTTCTCCTTTGCAAGTCAAGGTTCATGTGTGGATGAGACTTGTCAGCCTGCGAATATCCTGCTCCCTCGTGACTTTACCATCTGTTCATAATCCCTGCCTCAACGGGTTATATTGGGGGAGGCGGGTGGCTTACAGAATCATGATTTTTTTTTTCTATTATTCCTTCTAAATATATTATTACTAGGCATTCTTTTGTAAAGAAAAGCTTCTCTTCTCCCTCACGTTTTCTTTTTAACTCATCATTCATATTTGTATTTATTCAAGGTTACACTCAATTACACAAGCAGGGTAACTGTCCCAAATTGGGCCGGTGGGGGGCTCCTTCCAGCTGATCCTTCAGACCTCTTGACATGACCCCATTTGAGCACCTCCTTCCTTTTGGACATAAGACCCTCCAGGCCCACCTTGTCCTTCCTCTGCTTCAGATGTGGATCAGACACTTCTCACGG